TGGTTCATAGCTCAAACCACTGAGCAACATTGGCTTGGCTAAATAAATCATCCGTTAAGAGGGCAGACTATAGTGAAGCTAGTGCTAAAACTGGTAAGGAAGCAGCAGTCACTCAGATTAGCAAGGAAAGTGGAGAGTGTATTTGATCATTTCTGTGGTTTGGGCAATGTTCATGTTTTTGTCTGTGTTTACACATGATTATGGAGTAGCCTTGTTTTTGTCTAGGTCCACCATGGTCAGAGCAGCCTTGTTAGATGCTAATGTCATGAATCTGTTTATGTTTAGTAGAACACCCAGGACCAACGTGAGTGCCAAGCCAGTTTGTAGCAACACCAAAGCCTAGCCTGCAGTCCCAGGTCAGCTTCTGGATGTCAGGACCTGCCTTTCTCTTTTTCAAAATGTTCTTTTTTGAGATGATCCCTGTTTTGGCAGTTCAGTATCTAAATATTTAGACCCTCCCTGTACTCTGACCTAGTCACACCCATTTGTAGAACCAGCCAGTCAGGAGAACGTCATTACTGGCTTGGGCTGTGTGTCTCTGTGTGTGGTTTTGTGTACGTGTGAGTCTGCGCCCGCCAGAAGTTCCCTGATAAGATGGGAAAGCTGCCAGTGGCAGTCCTGCTTCACCTCTGGGCCCACAGGACTTCCCTCTGCTTAGAGAGCAAGGCACTGGGACTGAGTCCCAATGATCTCTAGGGCAACAAGGGTGCCCAGCTTTAGGCGGAGTCAGGGAAGGACAGGGGATACTGCCAAACTTGAGAGGAGCGGGAAAGGGAAGGGGTAGTGGTGGAAGGGAGGGGAGGGTTCCTTTGTATAAATGGGTCTCTAGAGGAGCTGATTTTCCTTCAAGGAAGCAGTCTGCAGTAGGTCACTGTGGATACCCCACCCCTATCCTTTTCTGCTTTCAGTCTCTCGTCTCCAAAACAGGCCCAGTTAATTAAAACAACTACAGAGAAGTCACATATGTTGATCTCATCCTCCACACAGAGGCTTACTCTGACATCTTTACAATCAAACACACGTCCTTCTCTCTCTCTCTCGGGTCCATCTCTTCAGCTGAAGTAAGAGGACATCTGCTGTTCCCTGTAGGTGGCCAGACAAAGGCTAGTACCATCATGAAGAGGTGCCGAGGTGCCACATGACAGCATTTGTAAAACAGCAGAGAAAAGCGAGGCCAAAATCAAGTGGGTGGGTTCCAAACGCTCGATATTTTGGCAGAGCCCCAACTGTTCTTTGCAGGGTGTGACTAGCCCTGTTCTGCACTGTGCTGTGGCCCAGCTAATTACAGACTGGCTATTGAGGGCCAGACCTCAACTGGCACTGCTCGCCTGTACAGTCAGAAATCGTTCCCTGTGATCCTTGGGGTAAAGTGGCAAGTCATAGCGGTGGGTGAAGTGATGGGGGTCTGATAACTTGGATTACAGGGAACAGGGACTATAAGGCAGAGGCTTGTCTTTGTGTGTGTGTGTGTGTGTGTGTGTGTGTGTGTGTGTGTATATATATATATATATATATATATATTTCAGAGGAAGGGAGAGAGAGAAATATCAATGATGAGCCCTACCTGGTTTGGCTTAGTGGATAGGGCATCGGCCTGTGGACTGAAGGGTCCCAGGTTCCATTCTAGTCAAGGGCACATTCCCGGGTTTCGGGCTCAATCCCCAGTGGGGGGCATGCAGGAGGCAGCCAGTCAATGATTATCTCTCATTGTTGTTTCACTCTCCCTCTTTGTTTCTCTCTGAAATCAATAAAAATATTTTTTTAAATAAATATCAACGATGAGAGAATCATTGAGCGGCTGCCTCCTGCACGCCTCACACAGGAGATCGAGCCTGCAATCTCAGGCATGTGCCCTGACCGGGAATCAAACTGGGACCTCCTGGTTCATAGGTTTACACTCAATCACTGATTCACACTGTCTGGGAGGCTCAGTTTGTTTGTTTTTAATTGATTTTTAGAGAGAAGGGAAGGGGGAGGGAGAGAGAGGGGAACAGTGATATGAGAGTGAAACATTGATTGGCTGTCTCCCACATGTCCCTGCTGCTGGGGAACTAGTTGCAACTCAGGCATGTGCCCTGATCAGGAATCAAACTGGCAATCTTTTGGTGCACAGCACAGTGCCCAACCAACTGAGCCACACCAGCCAGGGCAGAGGCCTGTTTTTACAGTAAGCCCTGTTATCTAGCACCATCCAACCAAGCAACAAGTACTTGCTCAGCATTTGCCAGTTTTTTTTTTTCTTTTTTCTTTTTTGTGTGTGTGTGTGTGTGTTTTGGGGGGGCAGTTACCCCTATCTTGAAAAAAAGTCTCTGCTCTGGGCTAGCTTACAATCAATTTAAGCAGTGACCACTAGTAATGCAGAAAATGACTTAAAGAACAATCAAATCCAAAGGCAGTAAGTGCAGTTGGAGTTCAGAGATGAAATCACTCATGGACACTAGTCCAACTATTACCACTACAGCAAAGTGGGATTTCATTTGGGCCTTGAAAGATGAGCAGGATCTGGATAAGTAAAAGGGAATAGGGATGGTGTTCCAGATGTGAAGAGCATGAACAAAAGTTTAAAGGTGGCGATAAACCAGATGTGTATGTGTGCATGCACATGTGTGTATGAAGTCATGGGGGAGAAGCCTGGACAAGACAAAGCGGGCTGAGGTCAGGAGCACAATGGAAGACTTTGAACTTGATGGGGTTGGTGGCAGGGAGTCACTGTATTAGTATGTTCTTCAACAAGGGAGACGTGACTGACTGATGCTTTAGGAAGTGATATAGCAGCAGTTGACTAAGGATGGATGCTCTGGTTGATCTCCATTTTTGGTGTGTCCACAGTACTTTGTCTTTCAATGAACACATGTCACTATCTTATACTTCTGCATTTACGTTTGCCTTCCTCACTGACAGGAGTTTAAGTGGCCATGTTTTCTTTCTTTTCCTCTGCCGACATCCTCCTGTCTCATAGTAGACATTCAATGAACACTGATTAGATGAATAGATAATTTCATTTTACAAACTGAATTATGACATCCCATGTAAGGATCATAACTGTCAAAGAATTACACTAAATTACACATAATGCTAAAACAAGGTAAATCACAATTTGATCTTTAAAAAAGATGATTTGTGAAACACTTCAGGAACTTAGTGTTCTACCATCATCTTTGTAAGCAACAATTATTATTGTATAATGAGCCCTGTCTCACAGGATACTAGGCGAGCTTCCCACTGATGGATTTAGAAATGTCATATGTCAGGCCATATTTCACCAAACCTGTGTGTGCGCGCGCGCGCGCGCGCGCGTGTGTGTAGTAAAAATTGTTCTAGTGCAGTTCATTTATAAAGTGGACATTGGTCCATTCTATTGTTCAAAGGGGATTTCATTGTAGCTACAACTCCTGGTAAACAAACTCAATATTTTAAAAAATCCAGAGTGATAATTTTCTCAACAAAAGATTCACATTGGCCTGGCTGGTGAGATTCAGTGGTTGAGTGTCAAGCTATGAACCCAGGAGGTCAGGGTTCAATTCTAGTCAGGCCACATGCTTGGGTTGTGGGCTCAATTCCCATTGTGAGGCCTGCAGGAGGCAGCCTATCAATGATTCTCATTATTGATTTCTCTCTCTCTCTCTTCCTTTCTTAAATCAAATATATATATATATATATATATATATATATATATATATATATATATATATATATATTTAAAAGATTCACATTGGACTCCTGAAAGTGGTAAAAATTTTCTCTTGATTTAAATAAAATTTGATTTTTTAAAATCCTCACCTGAGGACATCTTTCTATTGATTTTGAGAGTGGAAGGAAGGAGACAGGAGAGAAAAACATGAGACACACACATAGATTGGTTGTCTCCCACGCCCACCCTGACCAGGGCCAGGGATTGAGCCTGCAACCAAGATATGTACTCTTGACCAGAATCAAACCTGGGAATTTTTTACTCCATGGGCCGACGCTCTATCCACTGAGCCAAACTGGCTGGGGTGTATTTGATTTTTTAAAGTAAACTGAAATGCAAAAAAAATGAGTTGACTTAGGAAACTCTTCTATTCCCAGAAAACCATCTATAAAGTGAGGTATGCCTACAAGCCTATTTAGATAAAAGGGAGTGGGAGAGGGCAGATTTCTAGTTTGGGGGAAGAGTAGGTGGAATCGTCGAGAGATCATGATCCCTCAAGGAGTTAGTCTCCAGGTTTAGCCATGAAGTACCAGGTCTCTGAACCCTTGTCTCTGTTTGCAGTAAATGTCCTTTCTGCCTCCCTCCTTGATCCCCCGCAGGACCCATGCAGTTCTGGGAGGGTGGTGGTAGTACACATAGGTGTTTTTCCAGGTAGAGTCTATCCCATATGTTTGTGTTCACTCCTTCAACAATGATTTACTAAGTACCTATGTGAGCCACTCTAGTACTAAGCTCTGGAGATATAACCAAGATCAAAATATTAAAGCCATGATTTCATCTCCCAGGAAGTGACAGACCAGCAGGGAGACATAAGGAACAGGCTTGGAAGGGTCAGGAAAGTCTTTAAAAAATAATTTTATTGATTTCAGAGAGGAAGTGAGAGGGAGAGATAGAAATATCAATGATGAGAGAGAATAATTGATGGGCTGCCTCTTGCATGCCCCACACTGGGGATTGAGCCTGCAACCCAGGCATGTGCCCTGACCAGGAATCAAACTGTGACCTCCTGGTTCACAGGTTGACACTCAACCACTGAGCACGCTGGCCAGGTAAGGGAAGCCTTCATAGAGACCAGGACCTTCCCCAGAGGGGAAAGGGGTCCAACACTGTGGACAGACCACAGCCGGTACACACAGAGAGGTCTGGAGGGGTGAGAGAGCTTAGGGAACTGAAAGGAGTTTAGAGCGTGGAGCAGGGAATACAAGGCTGAGAAAAATCACGCACTTATTAGTAGCTCCAATTTGCTTGTTCTCTGATATGCATGGCTTTCCTCCCTTCACCTACCCACTCCGTTGCAAAAAAAGCAGAATTTAATTTAGAAGAATCAGGTTTTATTTAGTGATGTGAACATTTAGAATATGCCTACATTGCTGAAATATTCACAAAAGACATGACCATTCACACTCATACACACAGAGGAAATCTGAATAAAAAAAAAAAATGCTCATTTATTCATCCAAACTGCTGTCAGGGACAGCAAAGTGCTTGCTTATTCCACTGGAAGTCTTCAGTCTTCGTGAATGTTGAATAGTTTAGCTACTTCATTTAGATCTTCATGTTGCTCACCGTCCTTAATGATCTGAGGGAGAGGAACAGAGGGTCACTACCATTCAACGTGCAATCTGGCTGGGCTGCACAATGGGGCAGCATGGGCCAGTCCCCAATCCCACTGGGAGAGAGTTGTGGAAACAGCTTTCTACCAACCCTAAATGAGCATGTACCAACTCTGGGGCCACCCAGCCAGATCCCAAGTGAAATAGAAGCATTGCTGAGCCAAGGCTGTATCTTTGTTCTGCTCAGGTACAATCTGACTTGGGTGGCTGGTCAAATGGTACCTGATCAGGGCACCCGATGAAGTCATAGGAGCATATTCCGGCTGCTCCTCCCGTCTTTCTCTAGGATAGGGGTGTCGAACTCAATCAGAGAAGGGGCCAAAATCTAAAATCCAGCCTAAATCGCGGGCCGAATGGTTTACTGAACAGTCATAAACTGTCATTGTGATGGAAACGCAGCAGAGTGCAGTGATGACAGCGTGGTGTGGGCCACATTGCAAGGCCTGGTGGGATGGATTTGGCCGGCGGGCCTTGTGTTTGACACATGTGCAGAGCTATGAAAGGCACTGACCTTCCTTGCTATCGGCATTCGGTTGAAGATGTTCCACAGCACGATCCCCACCACCACTTTGTCCCTGAGGTAGAAGATAACACCTTTCCCATAGTCTTCCCCTTCGACAGGGATCTGGGGCATGCCAGGGTTGCTTGGAAGAACAGGGATTTCTGTGGCCTCTGACTCTGTCTCACTCTCTGATCGAATACCAGTTCCTGTGGCCAATCCCCAAAACAAAAAACAAACAAAACAAAACAGTTATATGAGTTTGGAAAATTCTATAAGTATCTTTTGACACCTGCTTTAAGCTGCTTTAGATGATTTGTTTCTCTATGCCCTCTCAGTAAACATTGGCCTTTTTCAGCCCCTCTTCATTATCAAAGGCAACGAAAGCTCTTCTTGGTCAGCTCTTGGGCATTGCATCAGTCTGATCCAAAACTTCCCTCCTTTCCCTTTCCTTCCCATCTCATTTTATTTTATTAAATATATCTTTTATTGATTTCAGAAAGTAAGGGAGAGACAGAGAAACATCAGTAATGAGAGAGAATCATTGATCAGCTGCTTCCTGCATTCCCCACACTGAGAATCGAGCCTGCAACCCAGGCATGTGCCCTGACCAGGAATCAAATCGTGATCTGCTGAGTCATAGGTTGATGCTCAACCACTGAGCCACTGGGCTCATTTTAAGTTTATACTATGGATATTTCCTGGTATCTAGATTTCTTCAAATTGCAAAAGACTTGCTCTTGTCCTCTGAGAAACATTCTAGAGTTGCATGGTCCAGTACAGAAGCCACTAGCCACATATAGCTATTCTAATTAAAATTAATCAAGTTTTAAAATATGTTAATTAAAATTCGTAGCCACACTTCAAGTGCTAAACAGCCACCTGTGGCTAGTGGCTAATGTATTAGAGCAGAGACAGACGATGCTATCAGAATGAAAAGGTCTACTGTACAGTGCCACTATGAAGACAGTCTAGCCAAAGCAGAAGGCATTTCCATATGGAAAAACCACTGTGGAGGTGTTTCCTCCTGGTGCGAGTGGGGTGTGACAAGGGGTAGCATGGGGAGGGGGCACCTTGTCTTCTGAGAATAACCAGGTTCTAAGTAATATTGATCAGTGGACAGAATAGTGACCTGGAGTTGAAAAGTCCTCAGGTCCCTCTCCTGGATCCACTTCCCAGGAGAGGTCAGAATTAAGGAGTGGGTGTATGTAATCAACTTGGATTACACAGAAAAAGGACCAACATCCTATATAATAAAAGTCTAATATGCAAATTGACCAAATGGCTGAATGACCTGCAGAGCAACCAATTGGTGGAGGGCAGGGCCCACAGTGGGTGTCATCACAAGTGGGAGGGCCCACAAGTGGGGGCCCTCCAATCGCCCCACTGATCACCCCGCAGAGGGAGGCAATTGGTGGCAGCAGTGGTGGTGGAGCCAGCGAGCTGGTGGCACCAGAACAGCCAAGATGGGTGCCAGCAGGGGTCCCTCAATCGCCCTGGTAGTCGCCCCCCAGATTGTCCCTGATCAGCAGCCAGGCCTAGGGAGCCTACCTGTGCATGAATTTTGTGAACTGGGCCTCTAGTATACATATAATGTCTTGTTTTCTCCTTCTTAAAGAGCTACTTGTCCTTGAAACACCTCTGACAAGAGTACATGGAGGTTAAATAACTTCAGCCAGGGTTATGAAAGGGAGAGAGAATAGGCCTAGAAGCTAATGAAAGATGTGTGGGGGAGAAAAATTCATTCCAAGAGAGTTGCCTCCCATCTAAAGAAAACCTGGCATTAAGATCTGATAAATGGAATTAGAGGCAGCTCAAGAATTACTCAGCCCAGTTCCCACTACCCAGGGTCCATGGAGAATAGCAGGCCCTAAACAACAACAAAAAACAAAACAAAAAAACGAAACAAAAAACATCTAACAAGTTTAGGTTTCCTTTATCAGGCAGGGCTTCCTATTCCCTAGAGACAAACTAAACAACAGAGTAGCTGAGAGAGCCACTGTCCAGAGTCTAGGATGGAGACCTACAATATCTATGCCTATGCATTGACCAGGATACCTGATTTTCCCATCTCAAACCACTAAAGAGTGGGAAAACTTTTGGTTTGGTTTATTTATTTATTTATTTAAAATATATTTTTATTGATTTCAGAGAGGAAGAAGAGGGAAAGAGAGATGACAGAAACATCAATGATGAGAGAGAATAACTGATTGGCTGCCTTCTGCATGCCCCCTACTGGGCATGTGCCCTAAGTGGAAATCGAACCATGACCTCTTGGTTCATAGGTCAATGCTCAATCACTGTGCTGTGCTGAGAGAAGTGGTTGACTTCCTTACCTGACTGCTCTGTGGCAGATTTCGGGTTATCTTGTGCAGATGCTTTTGCAAAGACACCAACCGTGGGCAAACTACTGTCCACAAGACCAATAGCTTCATAGCCAACATCAGGGCCCAAGTCACTCCTAAGGAAGAAGAAAGAAGAGGTTGCTCTGTGAATGGACTGTAAAGAATTACACCGTAGGACATTTTTCTCTAAGACACCACACTTTTATGCCAACCAAGGAACTTGGTATGTGTGACAAGAGAAACGCCAAATTGATCTGTCTCCTGCTAGGGCACTTGGGTAGAGCACTTGGGAACAATTGTGAAAAAGCATGGTTCTCCCAAACTTTTATTTTCCTTAAGAAGCCATTATACATATCACATATCCATACAACATTCTACACTTTCTTCAATTTAGTCATGCTTTTATCCCATACCACATTTGGGGAATGATGGGTTCCCCTCATTTACTATTCACTATCTTTCTTTAACTCATCCTAAAACTATCTTTTAGAAGTTTTAAAGAGTGATCCATGGAATTGGAATCAGGGGTATTTTATGATTTCATTAACTGACAATTTTCCATCTTAGCCTTCATTTTTTAAGGCCAGAATGCTTTCTATAAAGGAGTACCTTCACCTAGTTGGTCATTTTAATTGTTCTTGGAAAGTTTCCCTATCACCATCGTACTGTTCTTAATATGCTAGGAACATCACAGAATATTTACAGCACAGACACACCATGTGCGTAATCATCTAGGGTGCTTGGGCTATTCTGTTTCTGGTCCTCTACATTTTGTTATCTTTTTGGCCACAGAAGCTCATTGAACTGGTGTCTTCAGGGAACAGTCTATAATGACTTCTTGCTTTCTGTTCCTGGGACTTAGCTGACAATTGTATAGCTGTGGACTATTTTTTTCCTAACTGCATTATCTTATGTGTATTGACCCTGAAATCCATCTATTATGTTTTTGTTGCCCACTCAGAAAACTGTGTGTGATCATCCTAAAATGTATTCTCAGCTGAGAATTTCTCTTAGAGATTTCTGAAACCTTGACGTTTTTTAAGTTACCCTATCTTTCAAATCAACAGGATGAGAGTGTGCCAAACAGGACCTGCCCCAGTACTCAGGAAATGTCCATTGGTAAGTTTTTGCTACCCAGAGAACTGACTATTTACGCCTGACTTTGAACTCTTGGTGTTAAGGGTTACAGATGAGTAGGCTGCCTTTTTGTTCAGCCTGTTAGGCGCAATAGGGTTAGCAGCAAAGGAAAAATTAAAATATACTGTTGTCTATACCTAAACAGTACACTTTTGTACCACCTACTATAACTTGAATTTTGAGTTACTTTAATAGGAAGTGCCAATGCCCTCTCCATTCATTCACCTAGTCTAAGCTATGCCAAATGGGACCCTTTTACCAGAAGGCTGATCTGGAGTAAAATGTGTGGACATGAGAAGGAATCTCCCCAACCCATCCCACATAAAGCTAACTGACCCACAAGGAAACCAATCCATAACTCTGGTTCCATTAATTCTGTTCTAACTGGTTGAGTCCTTAAGGCACAGAACTATTACCAGAACATTGACTGATGCCAGTATGGCTTAGCAGCTCCAGTCATATTTTCTCCAGCCAATCTTCCGCTCACAACAGCATGATCATGGTGCTCTACTCGCCTCCTACCTAATTTTATATCATAGAAGCATGCAGCATCTCCTGCCTTTGGAGAAAAATACATTACATGAGCACATGATTAAAAAAGAAAAAGCAAGTTAAAGACAGAAAATAAACTTTTGGAGTTCAAAAATGCTTGTGACATCAACTAATTAATACTTCCATCTACAAGCCAGAATCATATATACACTATCGAAAGTATCTGAGCGGAAACCGGTTTGGCTCAGTGGTAGAGCGTCGGTCTATGGACTGAAAGGTCCCAGGTTCGATTCCGGGCAAGGTATGTACCTTGGTTACGGGCACATCCCCGGTGGAGGGGGGGGGTGCAAGAGGCAGTTGGTTGATGTTTCTCTCTCATCGACGTTTCTAGCTCTCCATCTCTCTCCCTTCCTCTCTGTAAAATATCAATAAAGTATATTAAAAAAAATAGGAACTATTTTTTTAAAAAGTATCTGAGATTCCATTTAAAAAAATATTTTATATTTCCACAAAGCTAACTTAAACCTTCTATGTCTAGCTCATACCTATTTCTTCTTATTCTGCGCTTAACAGAGACAGAATATTTAATAACCACGATTTGCAGAATATTCTTTCCTATGTGTGGAAACCAGTGTTTTAGATGTAACTGCCTCTTACCTAGAAATCTTTTTGAAGATTTTTTTTTTTGTTATTTGGTATTCACCCATTCATTCATTCAACAAATATTTATGGAATATTTCTTCTGTACAAAGTATTATACTGTCTGGGCTGCTGAGACAAACCTGGCAGGGACTTTGCCCACAAGGAGTGTATAACCTAGTTGAGGAAGGTACAGCATTGCTATTCACAATGCAAACAAGAAATGTGCCATGTGAGAGATACAAATCAAGTGAGCTCAGTGTTTCACGGACGAAGAACCCTTGGCTGGAGGTAAACGAGGCCAGTTTCATAAAGCAGGTGGTATAACCCTTTGCTCACTTTTGTGGCTATTCAGATTTCCCCAAAGACTTCCCTAAAACTCAACACGTGAAGCATCGATCAGACTGTCAAACCTCAGAGGGAAGGTAGGGTAGGGTGGGGGTAAGGGGGAGAGATCAACCAAAGGACTTGTATGCATGCATATAAGCCTAAACAGTGGTCATGGACAACAGGAGGGTGGGGGCATGCATGAGGAGGGGTTTGAGATGGGAATGGGAGGATGAGGACAAATATGTGATACCGTAATCAATAAAGAAATAAAAAAAATCAACTCATGGGCAATAGTGCAATAAATTATGAAATCCTCTTAATGGAATATTATGCAGTCATTAATCTGTTTACAAAATCTGAAGCGATATGGAAAATACATGAAAATCTTAAGTGAAAAATAAAAGAATACAAATATTCATACACAGTATGCTCGCCATGACCGTCTATGACAAAGGACAAAAAAAAACCCCAAAAAACTATGCACAAGAAAATGAAGGGAAGGAAATACACACACACACACACACTACATGGTGGGGATGGGCTAGAAGAGGTCAATGGGGGAAAAAGGGGGACATATGTAATACTTTTAACAATAAAGATTTAAAAATAAATAAAAAAGAGAATAAACAAACAAAACCTATACAACACAAATAGTGGTTGCTATAGGTGATTTCTTTCTCCCTTTCTCCTACTTGTTTGTCTCCCACATTTAGTGTTTTTCTTTTATAACAAGTTAAAAAACACCTTTTAATGTTCCTATGTCCTTCACTGCAGAGTCCAGAATCAAACACAATGCATTTGTAATGATTTAACAATGGGGAAATTACCTAATGGTTCCTACACATATAGTCTTGTTTGTGTCACAACAGATTTTTAAAAACAGCTAAAAATAGTTCTCAAGAAAAACGAAATCGGAGTAATTTTCCTTTCTAGAAAATGTCATCAAATTGCCTCATTCTCTATTCCCTGGACTCATGTTCAGGCAAAGGGAACAGCAGATCACTCTGAGAGCCATGCACATGCCCGCCAGGGTAATGCCAATGGCTGCTGCCAACAGCACCGGAAAAGCTCTAGTTCTCTAGGCATGCACACTGCTCATTTCTTTCTCCACTAGTTTGCAGCATGAGACCATACCTGTTCTTGTAAAGCAAGCAGTGCATAAGTATCTGTTCTCTACTCTTGGCCTCCAAAGACTCCAATCCTATTGTGGTAAGCTACTAAGGAGCTTTAGCACCCCATCGGGCAGACTTGCTCCTAGGCTGGGGACAAGGAACCATGCCTGGTCTCGCTGTGGTGTACTTACCACCCAAATGTTAGAGCGTGCTTGGAGCTCTGCATTTACCCGGAAGCCACCGAAATCTGAGTCTATTTCTAGTCCACCAGTCTTAGCCAACTCAACATTGGGCTCTAGGCCCACAGCTGCCACTATGTGGTCAGTTTCTACCTGAGGGAAAAAAAGAAATAATTTGGTCAGTTACCACAGTTTCCATGTATAGCAACTGCATGTGATTCATTAAGAATTGGGGGTTTACAAAAAAAATCATTGGTTAACTCTGATAAGCAGATTTTTTATACATATGTATATTTTTTTAATTGATTTCAGAGAGGAAGGGAGAGAAAGAGATAAAAACATCAATGATGAGAGAGAATCATTGATTGGCTGCCTCCTGCATGCCCCAAACTTGGGGATTGAACCCACAACCCAGGCTTGTGCCCTGACCAGGAATTAAACCATGAACTCCTGGTTCATAGGTCAATGCTCACTGAGCCATGCCGGCTGGGCTCTGGGAAACAGATTTTAAGTTCTACTTCATAAAGTACCCCTGCCCACATACCCCATATCACTTGAAGAGAAATCTGCCACCCTAGTCAGATCTCAGACATTTGTAATGTGATAGGAAGGGGCAATGGGAAAGTGGGTCACAGGTGTTTACTCTGGCTCTCACCATTCTTATTTTAATGCATGGCCAGTTCATTCAGAAAAAATCATGACAGTTTAGTGGTGGCTGCCAAGAAAACTAATCTGCTGGTATCAAATGAAGGAGTCAGAATGAAGAAAGGGGAGGGAAGGCCTAGAAGGTCTTCTGGCAGCCTGTCTCCCACTCCTTACCTTCCGGCCATCTTTCAGCTTGATGAGTAACCTGCCACCGCTGACTCCAACTGATTGCACAATGGCATTGGGCAGCACCTTCACCCCCTCTGTGAAGGCAAACAAGACCTGAGATTGAGCCGGTGAGCCTACCAACTTTATGAAGATCAGGGAAACAGACTAGAGGGAAGCACAATGTCACAAAACCAGTAATCATCAGTATGCAGGCAGCCTTGGAGAGCCGCAAAAAAACTATACTCGCAGTTCATTTCCAGCACTTCCAGGAATTTGGTGCATCAGATTCGAACCTACGTGAACTTGGCTGACTGGAGAATGGAAGAAACATTTCATCTGCCTGGTTTATGCCAAAGGGGTTCCCAAAGAAGCAAACACTGCATTAGGCCTGAATTAAAGGAAAGGGTGTCAGCGTATGGCAAGAGTCCCTCTACCTCGTCTGACTTTTTCCATGGTCCAGTTGCTGAGGTATTCAGGGAGGATCTTTCCCATATTTCCTTTCTCAGGGAAGAGTTGAATCACTTCGGTGCCAGAGGCCTGAGCTGGGAAAAAGAAAAAGAGTAGGTTTAGCAGGAGGCAAAAGCCAGCCCTAAGACTGGAAGAGAAGTAAAGGACCAATAGGCAGGCGGCCATTTAGTACAGAAAAGACAATGTTCTGACTTGGGCCAGAGCTCCCATATGCGGGGCACTGGGGCACGAGGGCATTCACAAAGCAAATACAACAGATGCCAGAACTGCTGTCCTTGGATGAAACTACATACTCTCAACTCATGCACTTGCACCCAGGCTCACCTCGGGCTTACACAAGTGCCTTGGGACCTCTGAATAGAGAGCACTCCCCTGAGAATATGTGCTGATTTCACACAGCTTAAGAAAAAACGGTTGCCATGAAACATTCAAGCCAGAACTCGCAGATATATCATGCTGGGAACCACCATGTGTCTGAAGGAAGTTTTTGACTTTTACAGGGAGCAGCAGTTCAAAGATATGTACACCTCTGCAATTTACACTGCTCTTACCATCTTAACAACTCACTTTGCTTAGTATTTTATTTCTAAGGAATCTTGGCCTGGAGGCTAGAGGAAAGGAGAGGAAAGGAAAGGAAAGCGCTGCTGATCGGTTGCTCAAATGGCAGCTTTGTGGTCACTAAAAGATTCCCTCATCAGAACTAGTCTCAGGACTAGTCTCTGAACTAGTCCCAGAACTAGCTTTTCACCATATAAAGCTCAGTCAAACTCTTTTGACTGATCCAGGCAAATGCACATCTGGAATTTATGAAAGCATGTGATATCAGACCAGACAAGAAAATCGAGGTCACCTCAATACTCACCTTTTCTGCCAAGAGCACAGGCCAGTTCACTACCAAGGAAGCCTCCACCGATAATTGTAATCGACTTGACTTCCCGGGAAATCTTCTCTAAGGTTCTAAAGTCTCCAATCTGCAGGATCACACCAGTTTAGTTCATTGATTTCCCAAAGGGCATAGGATGATAATACCAGGACATATTTTATGCTAAATCTTTGACAACAGTAATTTGCACATAAAATCTCCTTGTATCAAGTGGCTCAATTATAGCCCATTTGCTATTTTTCAGCATTAAAATAGTGTTCTTATTGTAATACCTTTAATATCAAAGAATTACATCGCTTATGGGGGGCATTGACTTCTAATATAAGTAAAGCCTGGAACATTATTTCTAGAAATAGGTTTTGTAGCTGAAATGTCTAAGTTTGAAATCTAACTTAGCCATTTATTGCCCAAGTCACCTCACCAAGCTACTTACCCTTCTATGCTTCAGTTACATCTACTATAAAATGAAGAAAATAACTGCAACAGATTTTATGAGAAAAAATAGATGACATGTAAATAAAGCACTTCCTAAGAGAAAACTGCATCCATATAAAATGCTTGACAGAAGATAATTTTATTATTGAATTATCGTTTTTTTATTTGAATGATCAGAATAGGAAACCCCAAAGAGGATAGGTGACTTTCTCAAGGTCACACACTTGTTAGTGTTCTTTTTTTAATAATTGGAAGATGAGTTTATTTTTTAAAATATGTTTTTATTGATTTTTTAGCGAGAGAGGAAGGGAGAGGGAAAGATAGAGATATTAATGAGAGATAAACTTCAATCGGCTGCCTCAAGCACATCCCCTACTGGAGATCGAGCCTGAAATTGGGCATTTGCCCTGAGCTAGAATCCAACGGATGACCTCTTGGTTCATGGGTTGACATTCAATCACTGAACCACACCAGCTGGGCTTGTTCGTGTTCTTTAACTATATATGTCACATTTCAGAATAGCCCATGTTATTGATGTATATTTCTTTCTCCAGTGTCACACTCGATCTGACAAAAGTGGTTCTCAACTGGGGGCAGTTTTGCCCCTTCACCCCAGGAGACATTTGGCAATGTCTGGAGATATTTTTGGCTATCACAACTGGGTGGGGAGGTGCTGCTTTTAGCTAGAGGGTAGAGTCCAGGGACATTGCTAAACATCCTACAATGCACAGGACAGCCCCTCTCAGCAATTATCCAGCTTAAAATGCCAGCAGTGCAAAGGCTGACAAACCTTATTCAGCCCAGAACTTCAAGGACAGTACAAATCTTTTCAAATATCCATCGGAGTGGCTGGAAATTTTCAGCAGTTTTCATAAAGCAAAGCAGTGATAAAAAGCAAACCCTCTTTCCTTCTTCACTTAGGTACTCTGAAACCTTTCTTCCCAAAGTCTTCACTATTGAGCTTGCAATGAAAAACGCCAAGAGGCTCTAAGGAGTTCCAATGACTCAAATGCATCAGGAAAAAACAACGATGGAAGGGCTGCCGGAAGGAACTATAGCAAGCAATAAAAAAACACCAAATGTATTTTTCTCCTAGGAGCTTAAAACCCTTGAGTGAGTTATTTGAGGTGCAGAGAGAGGAAGTGACTTGCTTAAGGCCAAATAATCATTCTGTAGAAGAGCCATAGAGAGAACTCGAATCTCCCAGTTCCTGGGTGGGTACTTGGGAACCACAGGATAATGCTGCCTCTTTAAAATCGACACACCGAAAGCACTAAAGCAGACAATTACCTTTCTGAAAAGTGTTGTTCTACTCTTCACCTCTGCTCCAGCCCTATCAATGGCAGACAGAGTTCTTGGAGTGCCTCCTGGAAATAAGAGGAAAACCCAATAAGCAGGAGCTAGCCCACATGACCTCCCACAAAGGTTTGTGCTGTGATGTGTGTGCTCCAGCTGGTACCAGGGCAGCACAACTGGACAGGAGGCTTTGTTATTGCAACTCCGCTCACAGCAGGCTTTTATTTATTTCCTTTGAGAAGCAGATTTAAGATTGTCTCTTCAAAGGGCCCCGCCCTCCTCGCAGATGGTCACAAGACCTAACTTTTTGCTTCCCCTTTCTCCTCCACTAGTTTCTCACCAGATAATATAGCTACCATTGTTTAAGCAACTGCTTTGGTCTCTCTCTCTCTCTCTCTTTTTAAAAAAAATATATTTTATTGATTTTGAACAGAGAGGAAGGGAGAGAGATAAGAGTTAGAAACATCGATGAGAGTCATTGATCAGCTTCCTCTTGCACAACCCCTACTGGGGATATGCCCGCAACCAAGGTACATGCCCTTGACCGGAATCGAACCTGGGACCCTTCAGTCCCCAAGCCGATGCTCTATCCATCGAGCCAAATCGGTTTCGGCTTGGTCTCCTCTCTTGATTTCTTTCTTTTTAATCTATTTTTATTGATTTCAGAGAAGAAGGGAGGGGGAGACAGAGATTGAAACATCAATGATGACAGAGAATCATTGATCGGCTGCCTCCTGCATGCCCCACATAGGGGGTCTGGGATCAAACCAGCCCAAAACCTGGGCATGTGCCCTGGCCAGGAACCACAACCTCCTGGTTCAAAGGTTGACCCTCAACCACTGAGCCATGCCAGCTGGGCCCCTCTCTTGATTTCTGATTAGAATGGGCAGTGAATCCACAAAGCTATATCACTTTCAGGGTAGAGGGCAGAGTGCAGGGGCTAAGCAGGGAGAGAGAGAAAAAGCAATCCTCTTTAATATCTATCCATGTATTTTGGGGAAAGAACAGCAAGGACAATCTAGAAATGCTGCTGATGTGATGCTAATAGTTAGCTGGACTCTGTACCAAGATAAGGAATACCCACTTCAGAGAGTCTGGGTTTTGGTTTTCTTAAGATTAAGTAATACCTTCTATACTAAAACTTGAATGAGCTATATATCAGAGAAGAAAGTCATTTCTAGAATTCTCACCTGTTGCAATCAAGCACTTTTCATAGGTTATCTGAGAGCCATCATTAAGTTTCGCCGTGTTGCCTCTCACATCTAGATGTACTACCTGGTACAGTCACAAAGACACACAAAAAGATATAAGGATAAATTAGCTTTAAAACATTTTTATTGAGATATAATTCACTTAACATAAAATTCACCATTTTAAAGAGGTTATTAGTATAGTCACAGGGCTGTGCAGCCATCAGCACTATAATTCCAGATCAATTCCATTACTCCAAAAAGGAACCCTGTGCCTTTCAGCCATTAGGCCTAATGGGAAGAATTCGTTCTTGACCTAAGCTGATCAACCCTTAAGAAACCATTTCTGGATAATCATTCGGCACCCAGTTTCTTCAGGTGGCTCTTATCCCCTAAGCACCCAACCTTAGAGCAAGTCCCTACAATCTCAAAGTTCCTGCTCAATTTGTAGAGATGAGAAACAGGGACAGACTTATCTGTTTGGTGCTTTTGAACCCTGACTCAACTCTCCTACATCATATTCGTTTTTACACGATGCTTTGTACAACTTCTAACCCTCAGTAAAACTTAGCTGCTTCCTAAGACTGCTCCTCCTCCCACACTCCTCCCATCACAAGCCCAGGAGGGGTGTTGGCTGCTGCTGCTTCCAAATCCTGATTCCGCATCCCCGTCTGAGGGACAACTACCTACAAATCACTGTTATCCGGCTACGTCACAGCCACTCCTCCTCATTCACTGAAGACCTGCAAACCTGGCTCATACTTTTCCTGAGTCACATCCAGAATCTTGTTATCCCTTATCCTCTACTTCTACCTCAGATATCCCACTCTTTGGTCACAATTTTCCATCCTTCCAGTTTTCTCTCAGTCCCATTATCATCTATAGTTGCTTTCGATTTTCTCTGCCCAGAAGTCTATTCCATCCCACTGTTCTTTTGCCAGCACCCCTAATTCCCTTGAACCCTATTCCATCTTAAGATGAAAAGCTTGAGCTTTGGAGTCATAGAGACTGGGATTCTTACTAGTGGTGAGACGATTCATTCAAGACATATTTATTAGGCACCTACTATATGTCAGGCATTGTGCTAAGTGCTGGGGATACAATGGTGTGAAAGATACCTTACCTACCTTCAGAGGGTATTAGAAAAGCAGATAATTTAACAAATTCTATAATCAAGTATGAGAAATCAAGTGAGAAATGCTCTGATAAGGGAAGTACAGACAGTGCTAGGAACATAATATAGGTACACCCAATCAAGCTTTCTGGAGGCAATGATATACACTGAGATCAGATGGAGAGTAACTTCTTTAGCAGTTAAGCTTCTTTTTCAATCCCACCCCACTCCTCAACCTTCATACTGATCACTCTCACAAAACCACATGGTAGCCTAATTTATTGCAAAAACAAGTGAAGACATTAGATATGATTTTTCTCAGCTTCCTACTTCCCAACCCCCAAATAAAAACCTTAGTTCCTTTCTTCCAGCTTCCAGTATGAGGTGTCTTTTTATTTTTATTTTTTTTTATTTTTTTTTATTTTTTATTTTTATTTTTATTTTTTTAAAATATATTTTATTGATTTTTTACAGAGAGGAAGGGAGAGAGATAGAGAGCTAGAAACGTCAATGAGAGAGAAACATCGACCAGCTGCCTCTTGCACACCCCCTACCGGGGATGTGCCCGCAACCAATGTACATGCCCTTGCCCGGAATCGAACCTGGGACCTTTCAGTCCGCAGTCCGACGCTCTACCACTGAGCCAAACCGGCTTCGGCTTTATTTTTATTTTTTATTATTTTTTTTATGAGGTGTCTTTTAAAAATATATATATATTTTATTGATTTTTTTTCACAGAGAGGAAGAGAGATGAATAGAGTTAGAAACATCAATGAGAGAGAATCATCGATCAGCTGCCTCTTGCACACCCCCTACTGGGGATGTGCCCACAACCAAAATACATGGCCTTGACCAGAATCGAACCCGGGACCTTTCAGTCCGCAGGCCAATGCTATATCCATTGAGCCAAACCGGTTTTGGCTAGGATGAGGTGTCTTTTTTGTTATCTTTCTGTGCCTTTCCCTCCCAGAATCTTCCCCTTTCAGTCACCCACTCATTACCCTACCTCTCCTGACATCTTAGATATTCAGCCCATTAACATGCTTAAATCTGACCCATCCTGAGTCTCACTTTTGATTCTAGGTCCTCCTCAAGTCTGTCCAATTGCCACCACTCTTTTCTCATTTAAATCTTTTGAAAGAGTAGTTTATCAACTGTTTCCTAATTTCCCAATGACATCTGTGCCACTAAATCAAATGAGTCATTTCATAATTCTTACCAGATTCCTTTGCTGCAGTAACACTGTGGATCACGTCTTCCTCCTTGAAACTCTCTTCAACTTCAACCCATCCTGGGCTCTCCTCATACTGCCCATTAACTTCTTTCCTAGTCTCCTTAGTGGACTCTTCTTCTTAAACCTGCTTCCTACAAGTTGGGATCCCAGGATTCCATCCCCACTATACTCCTCATACTCCTCTTCTGACTATAGAACTTCTCCATGGGAGACCTCACTCACTCTCATGGTTATAATTTCTACATGTATGTGGATAATTCTTGAATCTCTGAGCCCAGACCTCTCCCCTGAACGTCACAGTCATAGATCCACTCTCACATAACCACCTTGTATTCTGGACTTGTACTATCTGCTCTGTCGGTACCTAGCTGCTTATGTTTCCCTACATCGAACATATTTTTTCATACCCTTGTGCCTTTCCTTATGCTGTTCCTTTTTACTTGAATGCTCTTCACTTCACTCTAATCTTGTGAATAGCTCTTCATTTCACAGAGTCCCCATTTTGTAAGACTTTCTCCTCCAGGAAGCCTTCCCTGAAACCATCACTATACTGGGCATGCTTCCTAGTAATTCCCACAATATACTGTGCATCTTTTAAAAATTCTTCACCCAAGAATATGTTTCCATTGATTTTGAGAGAGAGAAAGAGAGAGAGAGAGAGAGAGAGAGAGAGAGAGAGAGAGAGAGAGAGACTGACTGATTGGCCAGGGCTACTGTGCATATCTTTCTCATTCTATATCTTTTGTTTTGATTATCTGTTTATATTTCTGCCTAATACTGTTAGCCCCTAGAGGGCAAGGGCCTGTGTGTTATTTACACATAGGGGATGTATAATATATAAATAATGTCTCAAACATATACCCATCTTCTCTGCCTAATGTTCCTTTACAGAAGTGGGCCTGTCCCTACCACAGGTCCCTCCACTTGTGCTCTGATCTCATCTATTGAGCTTTGCTCCTGATAATCATTCCATTTGTAGGGGAACACCACCCTTAGTTTACAAATGCACTCTAATACTTCCCGTTAACAAAAGTAAAACATAGCACAAACATACCACCCTGTGCCCCACAAATACCTCTAATAACTGCTCCCATTACTCAGGCGCTTACCTTTGTAAAGGCTGACAATATTTTCCATGCTGAAGTTATGCCTCAATTATTTTACTACTCTGAATACACATTTGCCATTTTCTTATCATCAATAATCCCAAAGAAATGTTAGAAATGTTAGTGTGGAGAAATAAAAAGAAGAAAGGACAGAGATGCACATCAGGAGAGGGAACAACTTCGGGGTCATGGTCCTCAATGATTTGAACTTCCTGAGAAAGGTCAGTTGGCATGCTACTCTAGGTTCTGGTGCTTTCCCCAAGAAGACACACTAAGCATTGTAAACTGGCACTATTAATCCTAAAATGACTCAATCCTTCTTTGATAAACTACAAGGGCAGGACAGAAAAAAATGATACTGGGAATACAAGTCACCATACTCGTTGTCCACACAGGCACATACGTGGAACCTGACAACGAAAGCAGTCCACTTGCTCACCTTCTTCCCAGTGAGGACAGCCACACCACCATTCTCAATGTGAGGCAGGTCCTGAGCAGAGACGTAGAAAGAAGGCGGCTGGAAATATATGCTGTGCGGAGAAAAGGGAGAAGATGTTATAAGCACCTGGAACTGCTATCAACTTCCCCCACAGATTTAATAAAATTGTTTCCATCATGAAAAACTTTTAGGAACATTTTCCAATATAAGTCTCCAGGGCCACTAAATCTTGGTTGTGACTTACATATACAGAGGTATTTTAAATCAGTGGTTGTCAATTGGGGGCGATTTTGCCCCTTCCCTGGGGCATTTGGTAATATCTGAAGACATTTATGGCTACAACAGCTTGTGGGGGAGGAATGCTACTAGTATCCAGTGGGTAGAGGCCAGGGATGTTGTTGAACATCCAATCGCCACAGACCACCCTTACAACAAATAATTACTCAACCCCAAATGTCAACAGTACGGAGGCTGAGAAACACTGTTTTGTATTTAGGTTCATTTCAAAATTAGAATAAGAGGTATTCTCTAGGCACACATTCACCCAATGAGCTATGCAGATGGCACTGGTCTATGGTCTAGTTCCTGAGATTATTTGCCTCAAACAGTAGACAGTAATTATGAGATATTAATTAGGGATGGCTAAGATAATTGGAATTATGCATTCTGCTTGAGAAAGGAACATTATAGTGGGGGTGATGGAGGTGGTAGCTTTATAAAATGAAATCCAATATCAAAGGGATCATTAATGAGAAAAAAATGGGACCCCAAAATACTGCATGGTACTTGAATAAAGAGATCCAAGCCATCCTTTAAAGGAAAAGGGTTGGCCCAGCCAGAAGGATTCAGTGGTTGAGCATCGACCTATGAACCAGGAGGTCATGGTTTGATTCCCAGTCAGGGCACATGCCCAGGTTGCGGGCTTGGTCCCCAGTTTGGGATGTGTAGGAGGCAGCCAATCAATGATTCCATTTCATGACTGATATTTCTATTTGCCTCCCTCTCCCTTCCTCTCTCAAATCAATAAAAAAAATAGCTTACAAAAATAAAAGGAAAAGGCTTGGACCTGCATTTCTAAGACTCTCATGTAAACATTTTAATAAAGAGGTTCTTCTCTACCATGTGCCTTCTCTACCAGGGGTCCTCAAACTTTTTAAAGTGGGGGCCAGATCACGGTCCCTCAGAGAGCTGGAGGGCCGGACTATATGAACTACTAATTCCTACTGTAACACCTCGGCTGCGCTCACTGCCCAAAAAACCTGGCGGGCTGGATCAGACTCCTCTGCGGGCCGCATGTGGCCCGCGGGCCGTAGTTTGAAGACGCCTGCATCCCCACAATCTGGAATGTTTGCTAGGGTGTTAAAGAAAGTGCCATAAAACAGTGTCTTTTCTTGTGCATTTATGGGACATGCTTAAGGCAAGTGTAAGGAAGTGACAATAAAGGCCAAGCTAATCATCCCTGAAGAAGTCTAACATAAAAGTCCTAGAAATTGGAGCCATAAAGACAGAAGAGAAACAGTCCAGAGATGGAAGATGCTGACGACGCCTTGCCATACTAGCCAGTCAGCAGCTGTGCATTGCTGCAGGTTACCCAGGCCAAACCAGAGAGAATCAGACCTGCATCACCACCATTTGTCCACCATCCAGAGCTGAAATATCATTGATGACAAGTAAACATAAGGAACTGTTTGACATTGAAATTGGGACTCAAAAGAACTGTTGGCCCAGAAAAAAACTCACTATAGACTGATTCATTTGCCTCTCAGCATAACCATTATTGCTATTGCTTGTTTCATTTTCGGTTCTTATAAGCGTATTTCTAGTATCACATGAGCTCACTCATCTAAGGGAAATGACGAACATAGACTGATGAACAAGAACAGCATTAATCAGACTGTAAAACTTTAGAGGGAAGGTAGGGTAGGGTGGAGATAATGGGGAGAGATCAACCAAAGGACTTATATGCATGCATATGAGCCTAACCAGTGGTCACGGACAACAGGGAGGAGGGGCATGCGTGGGGAGGGGTTTGGGATGGGACTGGGGGGATGAGGACAAATACGTGATACCTTAATAAAGAAAAAAAAAATAGGAGCACTATTGCTTCAGAGGCCAACATTTACCTCCAATTGTTGGTAGATCTGGTAACAGAATCCAGGACTCTTGCCACTGCAACCTGCTATCCCTAAGCTGCACCAAGTGCATACAAGAGCGGACTGCGGTGTGCAGTCATGCCATTCATCCTATGCACTGTTTTCACACAAAATCCCAACTTACTCCCTGTTTTTTAGTTGAAGTTGCTAGTCGGGCCCATTTTATATAAGTGAACACACCTTCTCTCTTTTCCATTCCACTGCCTGAATCGCAGTGTCTTTGTGACATTTGGATCATCTGAATACCACAGCTCTTTTGAAAGAGGAGGTCGCATGTATGGCAGCTCAGGATCTTCAGATACAATCAGTACCTTTAGACAGAAAATAATGACACTTAATCAGAACCAAGTCATTTAAGAGGCAGATATCAAAGTGTTCACATTGACTAAGTGCTTGCAGAATATCCTCTCTGTGACAAACAAAACAATATGTGCCTTACCCTGGCCCCAGGATCCCGAGCCCGGATGGATCTGGCTGCAGCAAAAGCAGCAGTGCCTCCACCAATGAGCAGGAATGGAACATGACTTGGTACCCTGACTTGAGCAACCAACTCTCCTTCTGGAGCTGTAGGCAACAGACCGGACACGGTGAATTTTCTTAAAGTCTTAGATGATTCCTCACCACTTTAAAATCACCTTGCACTCGTCTCAATCCTTTACATAAAGCTGGCAAAACACTGTATCTACGATTATCTTAACAATTTCTCAGCATACTGATTGGACAGGAAAAGCAATTATTCCCTTCATTTCCTAAGTGGAAAATGCCCAAAAAAGAATTGAATGATTTGGCCAATGTCATTCATTGATTAAGTCTGTCAGAACTAGAACCAAGCTTAGATATTGAGCAATTTCTAGAACACCCAGGAGGTTAACTGGGATTATACAGTGTTCAAGAATAAGGTGTTATTTACAAAAGCAATGTAAATCACCCACCCAGGGTTAAGGGGCTTATTAAAGGATTAAAACATTTCTCTCTGAAAAAAGCAAGCCAGTTGTGTGTGATAGAAGTGCTGGCCATGGCTACATGCTTTAGAAAAACAAATACATCTTTAACAACTCAAAACTCCAAAAACTCAAGGGAACAAAATAGACCTAAAATAATTTTTGCATCGAGAAAAAGGCCTTTAGCTCCTCTCTAAGCTTGCTTTTTAAATGTAAAGCTTGACTTTTAAGTCTAATATAAAAATAAAAAAAACACTCCTAGAAAAACAAGGGAAAAAGCACACACACAAAAAAGAAAAACAACCAATCATGATCCTCACTAACTTTCTTCTCAAACATAAATTCCAAATACTTTAACAAATCGCTGTCAGGTGTGGGATAATACCATAGATTCTGGAAGCTTACAATCTCTCAGCATCATTGTGTCAACAAGATAACTACAAAGCACAGAATCAAACTGTTTACAACTTTCCCTTCATACTGAGCGTCAAAGCATACTTACCAGATAATGCGGCCCTCTTCTGTTTCTCTTCTGGTGTCAGCCCTAATCCTGAAATTCTTTCATTATATCTTTTTTGGTCACTTTTTATAACCTTGTAGGCCTGTAGATCCAAACACGGAAAAAATTTATTTCATAACAGAACTAGCTCATACCATCAGCAGTTTCATTATTTTCCAATTAAATGAGAAGCTTTTGTCTACCTAAGTTCTTCTATGTGAAAGTCACTAAGGCAAATTTATTTTCTTAAGAAATAAAAAATATTGAATGTGTACAAACTTGGTGTGGAAAGAATACAGGTTAAGCAGATGACATTTTTCCAGTTTCAAATTTCCTTAGGGTCTATCTATGTGAAGAATTTTCCTCAGACTGTATTTAATTCTGAAAGTATGAAGGAATAAGAAAAACATTTTTTAGAAGAATAAAGTGTTAGGAAGGACTGAACTTTATAAAAGGAATTTTGGACTTTGTTGGATACTAGCTGTGAAACCAATCTATACAGGTAGGTAGCCAGGACACGTTTCCCTGGGAGGTGTCCTGAGTTTTGTCCCTGAAACTGACCGCAGTATCCTAGTCTGATAGAATAACTAATTTTTCCCTCAATGGTCTGTCCTATCACTCAGATGTTCATTAAAGGTCAAACACCTTGCTTAAATACCAGTAGTATTTCAAATATACTATTTTCTCTACGTTTTCAAATTAAAGAATGGTACTTTAGCATTACGACTAGCTGTTTTTTACATACAGCATCAGAACTTATTGGGGGGGAAATTAAAAAGCAGTAGGCAAGAATGACTTGTTTTTAATTAGAATACTTCTTGCTCTTTTGTACCCCACAGGGACAAGACAGGAATTTAAATGATGCTATGTCGCCGAAACTGGTTTGGCTCAGTGGTAGAGCGTTGATCTCCGGACTGAAAGGTCCCAGGTTCAATTCCCATCAGAGGCATGTACATTGGTTGCGGGCACATCCCCGGTAGGGGGTGTGCAAGAGGCAGCTGGTCGATGTTTCTCTCTCATCGACGTTTCTAGCTCTCTAGCTCTTTCCCTTCCTCTCTGTAAAAAAATCAATAAAATATATTTAAAAAAATAAATGATGCTATGTCAATTGGAATCCCAGACTATTAATTAATTGGAGGATAAAGTATAGAAAATCAGAGGAATTAAAATAAAACAAGCTTTAAGAATATTTCTGCCCTAACTGGTCTGGCTCAACGGATAGAGCGTCAGCCTGTGGATTGAAGGGTCCCAGGTTCGATTCCGGCCACGGTCACATGCCTGGGTTGTGGGCTCGGTACCCATTAGGGGGCGTGCAGAAGGCAGCCAATCAATGTTTCTCTCTCATCATTGGTGTTTCTATCTCTCTCTCCCTCTTCCTTCTTCTCTAAAATCAATAAAATATATATTTAAAAAAAGAATATTTCTATGAGCCCTCACAGAGCAGCTCATCAGGTAACGTGTGACAATAAAGAACCTGGCCCCTGCCCGGACCGGTTTGGCTCAGTGGATAGAGCGTCTGCCTGCGGACTGAAAGGTCCCGGGTTCGATTCCGGTCAAGGGCATGTACCTTGATTGCGGGCACATCCCCAGTGGGGGGTGTGCAAGAGGCAGCTGGTCAGTGTTTCTCTCTCATTGACGTTTCTAACTCTCTGTCCCTCTAAATTCCTCTCTGTGTAAAATCAATAAAATATATTTAAAAAAAAGAACCTGGCCCCTAAGACCTCAACGTTTATCAGCCTGGAAACGTCCAACATATGATAAGGATGATTAAAAAATTGAGTACTGTATGTTAAAAGGCAATGGTTATACCTTGAATTTTCCACTAAGTTCATCCAAATGAATTCAGCTAACATTAAGAAAGTTTATTTTTATAAATATATTTTTATTGATTTCAGATAGGAAGGCAGAGATATGAAACAACAATGATGAGAGAAAATCATTGATTGGCTGCCTCTAGCACACCCCCTACCAGGGATTGAGCCCACAACTCGGAATCCAACTGTGACCTCCTGTTCATAGGCCAACACTCAACCACTGAGCCATACCAGCCGGGCTAGAAGTGTTTTTTTCTTTTATAATTTTGGAATCAGATTAAAATATATATATATATATATATATATATATATATATATATATATATCTCCAGTATTTACCCATACTCTAAATACACACACATATATCTATATGTATGTGTGTGTAACATTTGTTTTAAGAGACTTTTACCTAAAAAGATGGCTTAAGCTGGTCAACATGAGTGAACAGAGAAATAAGCTGAGGTTATGTTCATAATCAGAGGGATATCCAAAAATAGGCTAGGCCCTCCCACACCTAATAACATCACACATGAGAGGAAGAACAGACCAAGAAATGTCTTGAGTCTTAGTGGGGAAAGGACAAGAATGAGGTTTGTCATATATTTATAACCACATATATTTATATATGTAGTTTTTAAGTAAAATGTTCTGATATAAAAACAAGTTTGCAGACATACTAAATATAAATTTACCTTTCCTCCAAGTGTTTCTGTATTTTCAGTTTGAACAGATTTTTAAATAGTGAAGTGAATACATGTAAGGTTAAGAAAAACTACAAATTTATGAAAAACATTAGTGGGCCGGTTGCTCCGTGGTTAGTGTTGGCCTTCTGATCAAATGGTCTTGGTTTCAATTCCCAGTCAAGAGCACATACCTCAGTTGCAAGTTTCATAGTGTGTGCAAAAGGCAACCAACGATCTGTCACTCTCACGTCCATGTTTTTCTCTCTCTCTCTCTTTCCCCCCTTCTCTGCTCCTCCACCCTCCTTTCCACTTCCTTTAGCAATCAGTAGAAAAATATCCTCCAGTGAGGATTAAAAAGAAAAAGAAAAATATTGTTGGAAACAACTTTTGAAAGCAGATGAATATGGTGGCATTTAGTCAACTTAAAGGAGTCTGAAAGGAAACAGGCCATTTTCTCAGTGGGGACGTGATCCTATCAGTTGAATACGGGCATGCGGCCCAAATACTAAATCTCATTAAGTATTCTAAAGGCCACTTAACTCTGCTTACTGACAAATAACAGGACTAAGATTAGGGGATTTGCCTGTGGTCCTAGAGAAAGTCACTAGCAACAGAGGGAGACACTGCTCACATACACACGGATTAGGTGTTTCTGTTTGGGATCTAAGTTGAAGTGTTGAAAACAGTGTTTTTCAAACAGGGGTTGAAGCCCATTAATGGGCTATAAAATCAATTTAGTAGATTATGAACAGCATGAAAAAAAACACACAAACACAAATAGAAGAGAAACTACTGAAGTATATTACAACTAGTATTATTTCAAAAATTTTCTGTTTTACATATTTATAGTTGTATGATGGTTGCAAGATAAAATTTATTTCTTCTTGTGGATTGTGGTAAAAAAGAAAAAAGAAATTAAAAAGCTGCTGGTTTAAAGTATAGGCCCCTGGCAAACATTTCAGAAAACTTATTCTTAGTGCTGCTCCCTTATTTTGGGAGGGTGGAGTGTCTGTGTGGGGGGAAGGTAAAGGGATCCACAATCAGGAATTATAGTATTTAAACTTTAATTAAAAGCATGTTGTCATATGAGAAACATTATGAAAAGAATGCTTGTATCCCTCCCAACTTCATATGTTGAAGCTCTAACTTCCCATGTGATAATATTTGGAGATGGGACTTGGGGAGGTGATAAAGGTTAAATGAGGTCATTAAAAGTGGGACCCTAATCCCGTAGGGCTGGTGAAAGGGAAGAGAGAGCTCAAATTCTCTCTTTCCCGTGTGAGGACCCAGGAGGGGGCAAGCCAGGAAAGCGCTGTCAGAACCTGACCATGCTGGCACCCTGATTTTGGACTTTTGGCATCCAAATTGTGAGAGAATAAAATTCTCTTTAAAAAAAATGTTTTTATTTACTTCAGAGAAAAGGGGAGAGGGAAATGTAGAAACATCAATGATGAGAGAGAATCATTAATTGGCTGCCTCCTGTACACCCCTTACTGGGGATCGAGCCTGCAACCCTGGCATGTGCCCTGACTGGGAATCAGGAATCAAACGGTGACCTCCTGGTTCATAGGTCGACACTCAACCACTGAGCCACGTCGGCTGGGTGAGAATAAATTTCTGTTATGTAAGCTACTGAGTCTGTGGTACTTTGTTATGGCTGTCAGCGCAGACTAATACAAACACTAAACTTATAGCCATAGGTCATCAAGTCTGAACTCTGATTTCAAGTTAACTATTCTCTTTAGACTAGGGGTGTCGAACTCAATCAGAGAAGGGGCCAAAATCTAAAATCCAGCCTAAATCGCGGGCCGAATGGTTTACTGAACAGTCATAAACTGTCATTGTGATGGAAACGCAGCGGAGTGCAGTGATGACAGCGCGGTGCGGGCCACATTGCAAGGCCTGGCGGGACGGATTTGGCCGGCGGGCCTTGTGTTTGACACATGTGCTTTAGACTAATCAATTTCAGGGGAAAAAAAAATCTAAGCCACCTCAGGTCACATTTTAAATGATTTAAAACCTAATATGAAACTCTACAAACTAAAACCAAAAACAACTCTACGAACTAGATAATGGCTATAGGTAGACAAAAGCTTATCATTTAACCTGAAACCATTATAATATGGTAGCTTTATTATTACCAGTGTTGGATAAACACAGAGGGTAAAGAGGCATTTAACTGAATGGCTTAAGAGGCACTGGTGCTTCGTAGATACTTTGAAGGCAGGAGAAAGCAACAGTGACTGGCCCGATCTTGTGGCCTGGGGTCAAGAGATTTGCCTGGCCAGCTCTGTGGAGGCCATCCAACTCTGGTACAGCAACATAAGCCAGAGGTTTAATAGGTTTAAATTTTACAAACATATCAGATGCAAACACTTTAAATCTATTTTTGAATGAATGGAATGGAACTGATAGGAAAAGTTGAGAGAACTATGGAATGGGAAAGTTCAGACTCAGAGGGTGATATCTGAATTAGAAATGAGAGGCACTTAAGAAAGAAATCTATGGAATATGTTAGCTTATACCACTTCAGCCACTAGTTTGACCAAATTAGATATTACAAAAGGGACACTGCCAAATGAATTTGCTTTGAAATAGAAGCTGGGGGTGAATGGGGAGGATTTCTCTGGCTTTTTGGACTTCCTCAGAAGCATTCGATAAAATGCCTTTTATCAATAAAAGTAGGGTTAATTGTTTGGTAAAAAACACATAATTTTACCTAAAATAATTTAAAATGGATGCTGTTCATGCTATCTTTACTTGCTTAGTCAATGTTTACTCTTTGAGTCTGTCTTGGTTAGGTATGCAGCACTAGAGCACAATATAATTTAGCATGATAGAAATAATTACGATATAAAATTAGCAACAATTTTAAAGAAAGGGTTGGTGATGAGTATTTATAATACTCATTAAATGTATGGCTTTGGACATATCTGGTTGGACTTCAACAGTTTGAAGAATGAGATATGAGGACTCCCTAGTGACTGACAATGTCCCTTTAATAAAGACCTAGAAAGCACATGCTGTGAAAACGTCATTGTGTTCTAATGGATCAAGTTCTCATTAGTGCCGTGGTCTCACCCACCCTACCCCAAGGTATATTTTAGTGTAAGCATCTTACATAATAAACTCCTGCCCCAGTGACTGTTGCTCCTACAATTAAGAAGTATACTAGTCTGCTGCCATCTTTCCCAGAAGCACCTGCGGACGCTAGTGATCTAGAAGGGGATCCTAGGTGATGACACTGCACAACTGTAGGTAAAGATAAGGCCAAGAAAGAAACAAAAGGAGATAGAAAAAAGAACTAAGTATTAATGAAGAAACCTTCAACACAAAGGCAGGGATGCATTTTTGGTTACCCTGTGCTAAAAAAAGGAAATGGAGAATGCATATTTCCTCAAAGTCTGTTATCTGACAGAGCTCACCTACTTTTCACTCCAATTTGACTCACAGCTTGCAAGACCCACCTACTTTTCTCTTGCATTTGGAAGTCAGGTTAGGGAATGACAAGCTAGATACATTCAAATAATTTTCACGTCTCTTTTAGTAACCTAGTGATCAAGAAGCAAGATAAGTTCACGGTCTTACCAATGTAGAAAGAACTAAAATTGTAATGGCGTCCAACCATTTGCTCTCAATAAGTAAAGCAAACAGCTTCCTTCAATCGAGGTTGTTACTAGGTGTTATCTAAATTGGTTCCCTCAACTTTATATGATCCAACTTTAGACTGACCTGCTTAGTCACAGTAAATCCTGCCAAGTTAAAAAAAAAAGTACACCATAATTCCTTGGTGACCAATTAAGCTGATCAGAGTTCATTCAAGGAGATGGAATTGTGCTATAACTCGTAGCAGTGAAAACTATTTCTCACCTCACACAAACTCCATTCTAAAATTGGAGATACTAGGGCTAAGTCTATGATTTAGTCTTTGGTGAGATTCAGGAATAGTTTTCCTACTAGGAACGCTTACTATTTGAATTGAAGGCTGTTTTTGTTTTTAATGTCTATCCCAAGCTGAGGAAAAATAAAACATTTGACAAATGGGTCAAAATCAAATATTGTGCTAAGGAGCTGCAATGAATTTTGTCCTTATTCACTGGTTAGCGTGTCACATCCAAGAGCAAAGGTACAAGTTTTTTGGTACTTGGTCAAACCTAAGAAAAGACAGTGGCTTTCAAGTAAAGGCTAAAAAGACAAGTGAAAAGAGCAAAGATAATCAACATGAGATTATATTTCAGTCATTCCCAAATTGACCCTCATAGGATATTAGACAGGAGGCACGTTAAAGAAGGCCTCCTGGAAATTTTTTCAAAAGGAGAAAGGGTGATTAGTTGCAAACATTTTAAAGCAGAGTACTATTGAGGCTATTAATGGGAACTGTTTGGCAGCTTCTTTACACAAGCCACTTTTCTACTTACATATGCACCAGCACCTATTGTTGATAAGCCCACAAAAAGGACTAACACATTTTTATCGATTTTGCCCCCTGATGCACCAGAGCTAGCCATTTGTCTTGTCATCTGGAGTTCTAGAGGAACATGCCATCGCTGGAACAAGTTGCCTAAGGAACACAATTTATTAAAGACACACACACATAAAAATAAAATAGTTAATACATGTTTATGACTAAATGTCAATGCATTGTACAAGTCAGGACTTACTGCCCACTGGCTGCATGACGTTGACTGTTCAATGACCAAGAAAAAAAAACCCACCAAAATTGTATACAAATACAACAGATATCAGAATGCATACTCATAAAGTGGTTAGAGTTGTTAAGAATGCTGTCCAGGGAGGAAATTTATAGTCTCCAGAAAAGATAATGAAGAACATATGGGCAATTCATCAAATACTTCCCTCGTTACTTCTTCACCATAAATGAAGTAAACATAGGGAGTTGACTGGATAGATATAAAAAGTTAACTACAGGCTACCTGGAGCATTATAACAACCACTTAAGGAGAAATCTAAACAAGCTGCCGCAAGCCTTGCACAAAATAAAACCCTGCCACGCAATCTAACCAAGACACAGCTCAGTCTTTGCATAAAAGGTAATTCGCCTTGGAAAACAGGAATGTTAACACTCAGAAGAAAACCAGAAAAAAAAATTTAAGTGACTTTATCTCCCTCAAGAACTGAATAATTTTGGCTATGAAGTATTTTTTTAGAATGACAAAATTTAAAATATCCACCAATTACTTCTGAGTCCTCCGAAATAATATGAAGTTTATGCTGATGTAAAACTTAGTGCAGCTATGGAATGACCTGGTGATCATAACAACTTTCACACACTAAAATGTAAGAATCTGGTACATTTCTTTCTCCATGAAGATGCTGGCATTTTTAGATGAAGGAGTCTCAGAACCTTCTATGCTTATGATATTCCTTGTATTAACTATTAACCTAGAGCAGGGATTCACATATTTTCTCTGTAAAGAACCAGATAGTATATTCTTCCAGCCTTGGGGCCCATACGGTGTCTGCTGAAACTGTTCAATTCTGCTGATGTTGAGCAAAAACAGCCGCAGACAATATATAAATAAATGAATGTGACTGTGTCCCAATGAAACTTAATTAATGGACACTAAAATGTGAATTTTAAATCATTTCCACGTGTCCCTAAATAGCCTATTTCACATTTTTCTTTAGCCATTGAAAAAAATATAGCCGAAGCCGGTTTGGCTTAGTGGTAGAGCGTCAGTCTGCGGACTGAAAGTTCCCAGGTTCGATTCCGGTCAGAGGCATGTACATTGGTTGTGGGCACATCCCCGGTAGGGAGTGTGCAAGAGGCAGCTGGTCGATGTTTCTCCCTCATCGACGTTTCTAACTCTCTATCTCTCTCCCTTCCTCTCTGCAAAAAATCAATAAAATATATTAAAAAAACAAAAAATAAAAAAAAACATCTTAGCTCAAGGGGTGGTACAAAAGCATCCGTGTTTGGGCTATGGGCTGTAGTTTGCCATCCTGATCTAGAATAGTGATACCAAAACTTGCATCAGAATCCCCTGGAGGGTTTGTTAAAACACAGGTGGATAGACCCAATCCCAGAGTTTCTGTGTCAGGAGATCTGGGATGGGGCTCACAAATTCGCATTTCTCAAAAGTTCTCAGGTGACATTGCAGGTCTGTACTTTAAGACCATTGGTCTTGAGGCAGGTGGATATGTTTCTGATCTGATCTGACCAGGATTTAAAAGACAAGCAGGATGGGCACTGGTGGTAGTATTCCATATGTACTTACAGAGATCAGAACTAGGAAGCTGTCCCCCTGCCTTTCACAATGTCAGGACACTGCTCTCTCTTACCTGAAATCCTTGGGAACATGTGCAATCCAGAAGGTTAGAAAAAAAGGTTTTTATGCCGGGACCTGTTTGGCTCAGTGGATAGAGCGTCAGCCTGGGGACTGAAAGGTCCCGGGTTCGATTCTGGTCAAGGGCATGTACCTTGGTTGCGGGCGCATCCCCAGTAGGGGGTGTGCAAGAGGCAGCTGATGGATGATTCTCTCTCATTGATGTTTCTAACTCTCTATCCCTCTTTCTTCCTCTCTGTGAAAAAAATAAATAAAATATATTTAAAATAAAAACTTGTAAAAAAAAAAAGGTTTTTAGTTCTAAGAGTATAGGTCCATAGTCTCTTATCTATAATTCAGAAATCAAAATAGACTGAAAATCCAGTTTTTATAACTCACTGGCCAGTAAAACCTGATGTGAGAGTCTCCTTGGAATCTTTTGTTTATCCCACTCAGTATGATTGGTCATAGACACATGAATATGTGTGACTGTGGGTTGCTGAGTGCTACTATATGGCATATGCACTATATACTTAAGACCAAACAATTCTTTGGGGGAGATAAATTCATGTAAAAATGTTTTTTCTAATTTTCTTCTGAGCTTTAACGTTTCTGTCTTCCAAGACACATCACCTTTCACGCAAGACTGAGCTTTGTCTTGGTTAGATTGTGTGGCAGGGTTTTATTTCATGCAAGGTTTGAGGCAGCTGTTTATTAATTTTCTTACCTGCTGTAGAATCCTTCATTGCCATGTGAAAAAAAAAAGGTTTATATTTGGAAAGAACAAATCATGAAAATAAAATCATGTACAAGGGTGGAGAAGCGTATCTCAATCTAAGCTTTTGATTTTCAAAAGTCGATAAGAATGATGAAACATAAGTAGAAACTAACAACTCTCAGATGTTAGCAAATGAAACTGGGTAGAAAAAGTTTCACATAGTTAAGTTTAATGAATTAAAAGTTTAGTTCAATTTCAATGAGTTTTGTCCCTGACCCTACCCCACATTTGGTTGCTGAAAAATTTTTTTTTAAGTTCCATTGATTCCTCTACAGTGTTTCCCAAACTTTTGACATATGTGTACCCCTTCTATAATTTTCGTAACGCTGAGTACTCCTCGCACTCATGAGAACGTAGAATTAGGCGCAGCTAAGCACGGTGCAGTGTGTATCCCCACCAAACTCTTCCTGTACCCCTGGGGGTATGCGTACCACACTTTGGGAAAGAAGATCTTAAATTCAGAAATGATAACTTTATCTATAATAATAAAAGGGTAATATGCTAATTAGAGCAGACATCTTCTGGACGTCCTTCCTGATGAAGCTGGGGCAGGAGAGAAGCCAGCCAGCACCCCGGTACCTGCAGGCGCCCTGAGAGAAGCCAGCCCAGGTCCCAGGGGCCTGCAGGCGGCTGGAAGAGAGAAACCTGGGTCCCAGGTGCCAGAGGGAAGCTAGTGAAGGCAGCAGGGAGAAGGCAGGTCTACTTTTGAATGAATTTTCATGCATCAGGCCTCTAGTTTTAATATAACAATAATGTGTTTATTCTGGTTTTGTTTGCTTTTCTCAAACTGATAAAACCAAGAGTGTAGATTTGGGAATGTTCTGCAGTTTTTACCTCAATATGCCCCCAAAAAGGACATTTCTAAGTAAACTACTTTTTTAAAAAGTAAATTGGTTAACATTTAAACTACTGCTTGAAAAAACAAACTACTGCTTGAAAAGAAACACAATACAACACTATTGTCATTAACAAACCAACTTTTTACATACCGACAAGTGACTTTAATTTTGTAAAAGGTGGTATTGTATCTATGTTGATATTTCCCACCAGTTTTCTTTTACCCATAAAATTACACCTACACTTCTCCCCAACCCTAGTGCTTCAAAATTTTAGGAAATTTTATATCACGACTGAAACATGCCTTTTCACTTGTCTTACTGATGTGGGAAAGCCAAATTACTCCTTGATTTCTCATTATTGCACCAGTCTACTTGTTTTAGATTTTCTTCAGTCAGACCACAAATACAGAGGTAGCACTTTCTTTCTCACACTTAGGATTAAATTCTTTTATTTAATACATTTATATATTATAATGATTGCCATTGTAGTGATAGTTAACGCCTCTATCATATCACATTATAATTTCTTTTTATTGGTTGGAATAATTAAGATCTAGTCTCTTAGCTAGCCTAAAATTAAAATATGATACTATTATTTATATTCATCATATTGTGCAAGGATTCACTTCCTGAATAAATGTTACACAGAGCAACAGTGTCTAACAGATGGTAGGCTTGTTCATTATTTGTTGAATTAATGAAGGAACGAACTAGAAATTCTTCCCAATTTTAGTGATAAGGAATAAACATTTTGAAGGATTCTTTGCAAAGAAGTTTTAGCCAGATCCTACTTACTTAAGGCTGCTTAATAATAAATCAGTAACCTCAAAATCACAAACTAGCATTAGAATGCTACCTAAATCATCACCGAGTTCATTTCTGTGGATTTCAAAATCTCCTGTTTATCCATACTCCTGGGAAGCCTTTTTTAGAAATACATCCACACAACTGAGGCACCTATGAATCTCAAATAAAGAGGTCTATATGCTCTTGAGTCTTATCTTTGAATGTCAAAGAAAACGGATTTTTCTCTAATATGGATAAAACACAAGCAGGACAAGTCTAGATGATCTATTCATTGTAGCTAGGCCCCTCTTCATAAGGAATCCAACAGCTATTTACCTTTATCAGTCTCTGTTGTGTTTTTTGTTTGTTTGTTTGTGTTTTGAATCCTTTGATGGAATTTTAGAAGAATCAGAATATAAAAGTGATAGTACAGTGTGAACCACTCTGAAGAAAGGCCAGAGGAAAAATGATTCAGGTGACAAGAAAAAAAAAAGAAAGAAAATTGAACTGTTCTTCAAAGTTAAGCCCTTTAAAATAACTAGAGTTCAATCACTGAGAATTTACCTTGTCAGAGAATGTACAAAGTGTGAGGAAAAAAAAAAATAGTACACGATCCCTGACCTTGGGTAGTACATAGTGTAGAAGGGGAGAATGACTGCAACTATTCTATCAGAAAATGGGCTTGATACAAATCACAGGAGACTCAAGGACACTCAGTCAATTTTATTAATCCTTAGGTCAGTGGAAGAGAAGGAAAAAAATCATTATTCATTCAAAATTATATTTCCCAAATTTCCCTGATCATATTAATTACATCAAGGGGTAAAATACTAGAGGCCTGGTGCACAAAATTCGTGCATGGGTGGGGTCCCTAGGCCTGGCTGGTGATCAGGGCCTATCAAGGCCTTTCAGCTACCGGCACGGGCCTTCCTTCATTCCACGCCACCTCTTGGTGGTCAATGCATGTCACAGTGAGCCACCATACTCCCAGTCTCCTGGTCAAACTCCCAAGGGGGCAATCTGCATATATATATATATATATATATATATATATATATATATATATATATATATATATATATATTGTAAATTCCCAGGCCTCTCTCCTGAAATTCTCATTTGGTAGGTTTGGGGTCCATCCTCCCCTCAATTTAAATGACCATGCAACTTTGGAATGATCATATTACAACTGTAGCAATTCCCTTAAATATTAGAAAATATATTAACCGGTTGCAGAAAAGGCTGACTTGCCAAAGATTTTCTTCTGCAAAGCTGTGCCTCAGCAGAAAGAGTGGGGAAAGGCTCATCTTCTAGGCTTCAAAAGAAAGCATCATTTGGCAGTGTCCAGGAAGTCTGGTTCCTTACACAAAAGAAGTTCAATTTCCTTTTTATTTTATTTTTTTTAGAGAGAGGAGATGGGGGGAGAGAGAAAGAGAAAGAGAGAGACAGAGACAGAGACACACAGAGAGAGAGAAATCGATGTGAGAAATATCAATCGGCTGCCTCCCATACGTGCCACAGCCGGGGATTGAACCCGCAGTCTGGGGATGTGCCTGACCAGGAATGGAACTGGCCACCCTTTGGTGCCGAGAATGAAGACGCTCAACCAACTGAGCCATACCAGCTAGGGCCCGATTTCCTTTTTAAGGAGGTGAGAAGGATTCCGAGTAGAGGAAAATGTTCAAACATTTGACCCCTCCGGTCAGGGATCGGTGATCAGTTTGATCACATGGGCAGCACAATGTTTGTTGACCAAATAAAAATACTACAGAACAGAAAATACCCATTTCCTAACCTATCTGCTCCTCCTGGGTGCTGAATGCAGACATACTGGTAAAGTGGTGACTATTAATTACCTTCAATCATTTTTGGAAAGAAGCAGAACATCCAAAATAAACAAATGGTACCAATTATAGATTTAAAGGGGAAAAAAGGCAACATAAAATGAAAATGAACCCGACAATGGTGACAGATGTGGAGGTAGATTTAAAGTTTGCTAACATCCTGGCAAAGAACTGAAGGGGAAAAAGGGAAAAGGGGAGGAGGAAATGGCATATAAAAAAACAATGTCTCTTCCCCACCTATGTAAAAACATATGGCAGATACAACTATGTGAAAAAGACATTAGATTAAAAGCAGTTTGTAATGAAGCCACAAAGCATGGTAAATTTGTAAAATGACAATCATACTTTTTGAAATTGTAACCTCTGCCCCATCTATTTCTAAAGGCATATGATGTTATATTCTGGTGCTTGGCCAAAAGACAAAAAATAAGCGTATACAAAGAGATGGATGGATATGTCAAGAAGTCAGAATAGTCTACAGCAGAGCACCTTCATATAAAGTTATTCAATGGAGAAAAAACATTTTGAGTTTGTAATTTTTCAGTACTAGTTCTAGTATCACCAACCATCTTCAAATATATAACTTTGGAAATCCATATTTAATTACTGAGAACTTTTGGTCAGACTTCAGAATGCTGGTAAATGTTTGAGTTTTAAGCAAAATAAGTGCACAAAGTTAGAAAGGCCAGTGTGGATGAAAAGCTTCAGCTTACCAAAATTTCTGTGCGACTTGCATAGAGCAACCTCATTTCATTGCACAAACCCATACATACAGATGATATCATAGACAGGATGTTAGTTTAAAAGCCAAGGTAGAGGTTTTTTAAGTTCCAAGGGCAATATGCCTTAGGACCTATCTCAGATACACACCCATCAGGAAACATTTTCTTGAAGCACAGCAACTGGAAAAACTTTTCAAATGTACCTTTCCAAATATAACAATATAAGAGAAGCATTTTCCACTTTTTATTTTTAAATCACCCAGAAGGTGGTTGCATGTTTGAAAGGCCTCAAGGATAACTTCTGACATTACAAATGTGAGTGTCCTAAATGGTCAATCAAAAATTATTGATGTAAAAATAAACACACACCTCCTACAGGTAGATAATTCTTTCATGAAATTGTGCTAACTGAAAATCAGCAGGCACAAAACATACTCAGATAAATTCAGAGATATCTGATGTACAACGGGCTAAAGAGCAGAGAGAGTTGAAGCAAGTGTTTAGGGGCCTAGAGACTGGCAAACTATCCTTTACTCTGCCTATTAATTAAGTACATGACCTTGGGCAAGAAAATTTCACCTCTCCATGCCTCGGTTTATTATCTATAAAATGAATGGGTTGAACTTTTACCACAGAATCCCTTCCAGCTCTAAAATTTGATGAGACAACTTCATGGAGGGCAAACATAATGCGCTCGGCAAACTCACTCTTGGAAGCATTAAAGACCACCAAGAATTACACTGACGAGACACCTCAAATTAATTAATGGGTCAGCTCTCCTGGTGTCCTGGAGCACAACTCCTTACTTGCAATACACTGTGTTTCACAGATTACTCAAATCTATGAATCTTATCTGGGGCTCAGGAGGTAGTGCAGATAATATCCTGATTTACAGAAGGAACTAAGGCGTGGGGCTTAAATGTTTTGATTAAAGTCTCACAGTCGTAAACGACTGTCTACAGGACTTCATTGTCTAAAAAATGTGGACGAGGGGTGGCCCGGAGGTGGCACTAGATAACACTAGACATTATCATTAAACAGCAAATCCTCCCAGGAAAAGGCCTCGAGCCAATTACTGGGTTCAATTCCCTTGAAGGTCAGGTACGCACACATTGCAAAACTAATGGATCCCGCCAACTTAAAATTCACGCGACTGTGAGCCTATTAAGTTTATCCCGGGGGTGGGGGCGGGAAGAGCTGCGAGGCTTTGGGAGTCTAAGCAGCCCAGGCCCTAGAACTATGGAGGTGGGGGTTGCCCGGTACGGGTCAGTCACCTGAAAGCCGGTTCCTTTGCTTCGGGCCTCGGACGCACACTGTCCGCACCAAGGGCGCCAGCTTCTGCTTCAAAGCACGCGCTGCCAGGCTTCCACACCGGTACATTTCAGCGGCCGCTCCTCGGGACCTCCTCCTGCCTTTCTCCTCACGCACTTACCGGTCAAACACCCTGGGCTCCGGCCCACTCCCCCCTCCGCTGCGCGCGCACACGCACTCCACGCAGGCTCCGCCTTCCAGCTCTGGCTGGTCATTGGACGGTTCGGCAGACTCGCTAGCGCCGGGGAAGGGGAAGCGCTACCGGAGACCCACTGCGCAGGCGTAATAGTCAGCGCCGTATTGTGATTGGCCAGCACGGGAGAGAAGGTTTGCGCATGCGCCTAGTTTCTCCCAAGCTCCCAAAGTCCTCCCCGGCCTTGACTGTAAGTTTCCACGGATTGGGAACAGTGAGTTCAGGTGAGCGAGTTCAGAAAGCCGCCCAGGCTGAGACCTGTGGGGGCGCTTGGGGGGCTTTTGAGGAAAATGATAATAGCACCGCACAAAGCATGGCGCCAGCGCTGTATTTTGTTCTTTTGTTTTAGACAACAAGCTATTAAGGTGACCAGACGTCCCGCTTTTGACGGGACAGTCCGAATTTTAACAATTTGTCCCGCGTCTCGCGGCGTTTAAAAATAAAAAGTCCAAAAATTTAAAAGAATCTTTCCAAAAATTGGGACTTTTTTTAAAACGCCGCGAGACGCGGGACAAATTGTTAAAAATCGGGACTCTCCCGCCAAAAGCGGGACGTCCGGTTACCTAGTAACTAGGTACTAGCCTTCGGGATTTTCTGGCTTGACTCCACTTCCAGACTTAACATATAGGCCCGAGCTGGGTCTCTCGGCTTCCCAGTTTTAGTTGTTGGCGCTTTTCCACCTAACCTCTGCTTCTAGGGCAAGTATTCATTCCGCTCTGTCTTGCCCCATATCGCTTTTATGTTATGCAATTCTGATTCCTAGATGCTGTATCAGGTGCTGCGGATGGTCTCCTGTCAATCTTCTGTGCCTGAAAGCAGGATGCTGGCAAAGCGTTCATGCTTCAGACACTCTGTGAGAGAATTCCTAAATAGCACTTTTAGAGTTTAGGGGGAGGGGTTAAGTTTCGACTCTACAAAATGTAAGCTAAATTGGAAATAAAATTTTGGCTGTATGCAAAACATAACATGTCTTTTCTCAGAGTTTTGTGTTACATATTCATTTAAAAAGTATTTATTGAGCACTTGCCACTTGGCTATTACTATGAAGGGGGATCTAGAGGCTTATGAAAAGTATAGGAAGTGGTCACTGTATAGTTGGGGAGATAACATATACTGGATATATATTATATATTATATAATATATAATATTATATTATATCATATATACATTTATACATATATATGGTGTAGTGCCAGAGCAAGAGAAAAGACTATGGGATGGAATAGCTAAGGAAGGACTTCACGTAAGAAATATTACTTGGGCCTGTCTTCAAGAATGAGTAGTAAAATTTAAACAGTGGATGAGGAGGAATATTTCTGATGGTGAATACACTGGGACCTAAGTAAATATTTTTAGTGTTTATGCAGTCTGCCCCAGGTTGAATCCTGGCTCTCTCTGCCACTTGGGCATGTCATTTAGCTATGCCTCACTTTCCTTGTCTACCAATCACACAGATTTGATATGAAGATTAAATGAGAAAGCTCCATGCTATTTAAATTAAAAGGCTTGGAGGTATAAAGTGAACACAACCCAGTACATTTTCAGGCAACAATGGCAGGAGTATATACTAGGAAGTTAATAAGGATAGGTTAATAAGGTAGGGTCAGATTTAAACGAGCCAAATAGTTTGTCCCTAATCTTGTAGGTGATGACATTATTATTATTTTTTAAGTAAAATAGGGATAGAGGATGAAATTACAAAGGCATTGTTTTAGAAAGTTTAACTCAGGAAGCAGCTTTACTGGGTGAAAATGATCCAGAGTTCCCTTACTCATTTTTATTTTATTTTTAAAATATATTTTATTGATTTTTTACAGAGAGGAAGAAAGAGGGATAGAGAGTTAGAAACATCGATGAGAGAGAATCATCGATCAACTCCCTCCTGCACCCCCCCCCACTGGGGATGTGCCTGCAACCAACAACACACATGCCCCTGACTGTAATCAAACCCGGGACCCCTCAGGCAGGCTGACACTCTATCCACTTAGCCAAACCGGTTTAGGCTTCCCTTACTCATTCAGAATAATATTCAGGAGGGGAGGAGAGTGAGGAGGGTGGGAAATCAACCAAAGAATATATATACATATATGCATAGCCTTTGGACACAGACAATAATAGTGGGGTGAAGGCCTGGGGCGAGGGGCGGGGTCAGAGTAGGAGGCAAAAGTGGGGAAAATGAGGGATAATAGAGTCAACAACAAAAATAGAAACAAACAAAATATAGAATAATGGGTGTTCAGAAGTACAAGAATAGGTGACTTTTTAGATTTTTAAATTGATTTTTAGAGAGAGGGGCAGGAGAGGAGAGACAGAGACAGAGACAGAGAGGGAAAAGAAACATTTATATAAGAGCAAAACATCCATCAACATCCATGGGCTGCCCCCCCCCCTCCACCCACACCCCACGGGAGAAGGAGACAGGCTCCTTCATTCAAACCAGCAACCCCTGGGTGCACAGGTCGACACCCAAGCAACCCAGCCTCACGGGCCAGGGCTACTGTTCTGTAGATAATGATCACCAGATTTAGCTTCAGATACAGAGAAGAATGCTGCTGGAAACTATTACCTAGACATCAGAAAAAAAAAAAGATAGCTATTCACACTATAAAATGGGAACTGATAGCCAAAACAGGTTTGGCTCAGTGGATAGAATGTCAGCCTGCGGACTGAAGAGTCCCAGGTTCGATTCCAGTCAAGGGCAGTACCCCCAGTGGGGGGTGTGCAAGAGGCAGCTGATTGATGTTTTTCTCTCATCGATGTTTCTAGCTCTCTATCTCTCTCCCTTCCTCTCTGTAAAAAATCAATAAAATATATTTTTAAAAAATCAAAAAAATAAAATAAAATGGGAACTGATATTCATAATGATGACCTTGGTTTAGCCAACAAAGATTAAGTTCTTCCTGAGATGGTTTTAATATTGAATAGCATAATCTATGCTTTTAGAAATGGGTGACCCACATATATGTGTAAAGAGTTAGCTACAACTATATCTGCTAACTCAGCTAAAAAGCTTGTTAACTAGAAGACCCTATCTTCCTAGCCATTTTAAGTAACCTGGACTTGGCTGAGCAGTTGCATTACAGACCTATCACTGATGCACTGAATTGTTTTTTCTTTCTTTTTTAAAAATTGTTTTTCTCATATTGAGATGGATTTAGTCACGTTTGTGTCTTTTGCAGCACAGCCTTACATACAAATAAGATGGCAGCTCATGTGTGCTGCTGGAATCCCTGACCTTGATGGCATTAGCAAATAGCTCATGTGGGTGCTATTGGCATATGTCAATCTTACTCCTATGAAATATGTGGGAGGATGGATAAAATCTTAAAAGCAAACGTAAAAGGGGTGCAATTTATTGTATGTAAATTATACCCTAGCAAAGTTAATTTCAAACAAATTCTGAACCTGGAGTCACTGATGTATGATGATGTATGATGATGTATGATGATGCTTAGTAAGCTTTGGGAAGCTGCCCCCTGATACCGTAAGAAAGTTCTGTTCATTTATCATCTTGCAAGCATAATCTAGGCTTCTGGCAAATTAGAACCGACCACTTTCTTCTACATTCAGTTGTAGAGGGGTGAACCCTCCTGGGGGTTTTCAATTCCTTCTGACACTCCACCATTCTAGAAGGACTTATGATCCTATGGAGAGCCCAGGAATGCAAGACACTATGAGCTTTATGCCTGGTCCCAAGATCCCTCCACCTGGGCCTGAAATGGTTAGTCCCCGGAACAAAGTCCCCTTGTGCTGGAGCTGCCACCACTAGCTTCCCCCCTCCCCAACTCCCGGTTTGGCCCTCTCCCACGGCGGGCCTTCCCCATTGGCCAGACAAACACAACCGACTGCGGCAGCCAATGGGAGCCGCTCTCCTGAACATTCAGAGGATGGGTGCTTGTGGTGTGATGAGGGGGAGGTTGGCGCCTGGCACGCGCCCCTCTACATCTGGCAGGTCTGTGACAGAAACAGTAACACCCCCTATACACGCATACCAGTGTCCCCCGGCTCCCTCCTCAGCTGCTCGGGTCTCCGCTACCCAAGGCTTGTCTTGGCAGCACCCTCCCAGGCTCCTCCTCGGGGCTCGGCAGTGCACCTGCTTCCTCAATAAGAGAGCATCTCTTTATCCCAAGGCTTGGGAAGGGGCTACGGAGGCAAGCGTGGCTTAGCTGGCCGTTGCTCCCGAGGTGAAAGAGGAGTCTCCGCCCCGCTCAGTAATGTTGCTCCAAGGCCAAAGTGCTCCAGAGATGCCTTAGAGGGCAGCTTTGTCCTCCCCAGCTGTGCTCCCTGCCCGCTGACCCCCACGTGCTTCAAGAAATTGGGGGGTGGAAAAGCCTGAGATCTATAAGATAAATGGGAGCGAGAAGGGAAGACCATCCGGGAGGGGTGTGCGCCCCTCTCCCCACCCCCTTGCCTCGTAGGCTTCCTCCCTGCGGTGTGTCCTTGGGGATGGGCAAGGGAGGATCCTAGCCTAAGGCGCGGCTGAGGCACCGACTGAAGCAGAAAGCTTCAGGCTTGCAGTCTCTCTTTCATGTCTCCCTTCCCTGCCCGGCTTTTGTGTTGGTGCTTCGGAAATGTGAGGAGGGCGAGCTGGAGGAGGAGGAGGGGGACCTAGGTTGAGGGCACCCCCTGCACGCGCGCGTGCGCGCACGGTGCCGGCGCACGCACACACACGCGGACACACACTCACGGACACGCGCGCGGGCACACACACACACACACACACACACACACACAAAGCTCGCTCGCCTCGAGCGCACTAACGTGGCCGTTTTCTTTGTGTGGAGCCCTCGAGGGGGGTTGGGGCCCCAGTTTGGTCCCGTCCTGGGGAGATGGCGCAGCCCATCCTGGGCCACGGGAGCCTGCAACCTGCCTCCACTGCTGGGCTGGCATCCCTGGAGCTCGACTCGTCCCTGGACCAGTACGTGCAGATCCGCATCTTCAAAATCATCGTGATAGGGGACTCCAACGTGGGTAAGACCTGCTTGACCTTCCGCTTCTGCGGAGGGACCTTCCCGGACAAGACCGAAGCCACCATCGGCGTGGACTTCAGGGAGAAGACGGTGGAAATCGAGGGCGAGAAGATCAAGGTGATCTAGCCGGTCGGGTCCAGGATGGGTGGGCTCTGGGAGGGGTCCTCGCCCGGGACTTGGATCTGGTGGTTGTGAAGTCTCAGATGCATGGCTGTGTCGCTGTTTGCTGAGCCCAAGACCCTGGGCACCTCCTCATCCCCCCTTTCCTCTCTCAGCTGCCCGGTTGGGTTCCAACCTCACCCGTTTGGGGCGGAGGCAGGCTGGAGTGGGTGCATTCATGTCCTCTGCCCCTACCTGACAGCTCCTGCCAGGAAAAGCATGTGTGATCCCATCCTTGACCCTGCGCCAGGAGCAGCGGCACCTGTGGGCAGAGGGAGGCAGGAGGGAATCGGTCCTGGTGTGGGATGGATCCCAAAGCACTTTACATATCTTGAGGTCTCTTCTACCTCTTGGGTGCCAATAGGCTGCAAAACCCCACTTTGGTTAAGGCATTGGAGGGGAGGAAAGGATGGAAATCCATAGAAAATGACCATTGATGGTTAGCGTTGGGGCTGAAACGGAATAGGGGTGTAGTGGGGTGGTTTTGGCACAAAGTCATGAACGCTTTGAAAGACATTGAGACAGGGTCACTCACCAGCCCTTCCTAAGAGACAAAACGACTTCTTTTGGAACAGTCCTCAAATGCTATCTTCTGTATTTGTCGCTATTCGCCATTGCTCATTGTGTTGGTATTGTCTTCAGCAGGCCTTTGTAAGAATGCAGAGCAACTTATCTGAGGGTCAGCGGAAGTGTCTTGGTCCTCCCTTCTCGGTAGTTTATGAAGTAGGCTAAGTACGGATATTCATGTCTGACCATTTGTACTCACGTTTGGTTCAGAAAAAGGTGGAAACTCAATAGAACAAGAATAGTTCAATGTGCAGAGGCTAGTGGGAGGGAGGACATGACAAGGGCAGCTTCATGTGTCAGGGGAGTAGAAAGGGGGCAGGTCCATGGGTAGGAAAGTCACCTCCAAAGACATTGTTCACTAAAGACCAACTCCACTAGACATAGCTGACCTTTTCTTGAGCTTCCGGTCAGACCCTGTCAGGTAAAGGTACAAAACTCCCTCCTGCAGAGTGATATGGAGAGAAGGGCTTAGCAACTGGGGAAAATGATAAAAACAAAAACAAAAACAAAAAAACATTGTAAACTCTGCAAGACTCTTGACTTCTTGGTTTTAATAATGAACATGTTTTAAAATGGCTTCAGAAACCAGGCCAAGATGCTACGTGTGTCAGGAAGATGGACAGCCCAGTATTGATAAGGGAGCGCTCTCAAGAACAACTGAGTCCCAGGGTCAGGAATAGAGGACAATGTTTTGAAATAGTGATCGTTTCCAGCCCTTGCATTTTTGGAGGAAGTACTACATTTATTTTTTAAAGTCGAAGTAGGTATCAGTCTTTCTCCTTTCCCAGGGCTTTATGTTGATGGTTTAGGACTTTCTCTAAGGTGTCTAACTTCTTTCATGTAACGTTGTAAGATTCTGTAATTTCTAAAGCATGCCTTAACAATCCAAAGTGGAAATATACTTATGTATGTGCTCTTGGACCCTTAAGACCCTTACAATGTAATGCTACTTCCTGTTTAAAATCAAGGGTCACATTGAGCCAAACAACTCTCTGGATTTAAGAGAGGGGAAAGAAGCCCACCTGAAATTTACATAGAGGAAAAAAAGGAAGTGTTTGGGAGCGTGGGGGAGAAGAGAGGAGGAAACTAGAAAGTGTAAAATGGGAGGTTGAAAATGAGTGGAAGAGGGTCGCCACCCAATGCCCTTGGGGAAATTTTTTAAAAGTTTCCTTCCCTTACAACAGCCCAATACTTTGCCAAACTGGATTTTACAGTCTCTGCCAAAGATTCTGGACTTTTTCCCAAGGGGCAGAGCCTGTGACAGTGTGACTCACTAGAAAAGTGCTCATTAGTGCTCAATACAGGCTTTTTAGGGGAAGATGATATTTCAAGAGGGTGAAACCTTGTGACACTTCTGAAGGAGCTCTCTGAGGGCGGATTCTGAGGGATCTCAAGGTGGGGCGTGGGAGTGGGGAGATGCTGACCTTGCCTCATCTAAAGCCTCAGGGCCAAAGCCAGCAGGTGAAGACCAGCTTGTCCGTGGGAAGGTGGCCGAGCATGGCAGCGAGCACATGATCTCGAAGGAGATTTGGCCCCACACTCCAGCTGGCCTGGAGTTTCTCAAGGAACAAGTAACAAAACCACACTAGGAGGTGGCTGCCAAAGGCTTCTCCCTTTGGGGGAGAGGGAAGAGTCCTGTGTGCCAGGCTGAAGTGGCCCTAGACCACAGCTTGCAATAGAAGGCTGTCAGGCTATAAAACGCCAGCTCTCAAAGGAGACTGGGAAAGAGAGCTCAGTGACCTCTTCTTAGTCCAAGAGTAGGGTGTGGTCTCTCCTGGGCTGCTTCCCTGTGCCCTAGGGTAGAACATACTGTCAACCCCTGTATGGGGATGACTGACTCAGCACGTTTGGGAGGACTCTCTTAATTACCAGGGCCATCCCTTAGGCTTTGAAACCCAATTTGGTGTCTCCAGTCAATGTGTCTTTACACCCTCCCAATCACAACATTTATAATCCAATGTTTCCTAGTTAACATGAGCATCAAGAAAAGCCTCCAGTAAGTAAATAATAATAATAATAATAATAATAATAATAATAATAAACTCCTGCTTTGTGAATAAACGAAGAGCTCAGACTGGATACTTACTCTACATACACTACCATATTTGACCTTCACAGCAGACCTATGAAATTAAGACTTATTATCATTCCTGTATATAGATAAGGAGATCAAAGTTAGAGAGATTAAATAACTTGCCCAAAGGCATATGGATCTGAGCTTCAGTCTTTGACCCTTGAATCTAACTAAGCACTAATGCGACCTACATTCAGAGCCCAGGCTCTCTACCAGCACACTCTACCCTCAGGGGCAATATCTGGCCTGGGGGAGTGTGCACAGGGGGAAGTGGCTTCCCTCGAAGCAGCCTGGTAGTCTTTTGTAGGCCAGGAGTCCAGAGTGATAGTCCCAGGACCCAGGATCCTTCAAGTTGTCTCCTTTAACTGCACCCCAGACACTGAGCTGAGTTTTTTGTTTTTAAGGCAGGGAGGAGATATCTGATTCTCCTATAGGTTTTAAAAAATATATATATTTTATTGATGTTTTACAGAGAGGAAAAGAGAGGGATAGAGTTAGAAACATCGATGAGAGAGAGACATCGATCAGCTGCCTCTTGCACACCCCCTACAGGGGATGTGCCCGCAACCAAGGTACATGCCCTTGACCGGAATCCAACCTGGGACCTTTCAGTCCGCAGACCGACGCTCTATCCACTGAGCCAAACTGGTTTCGGCTAGGTTTTACTTTTTGTACCTTGTCTGTCTCACCTTAGCCGTGAGAATCAGGGAATGTTCAGAGATGGAAGAGACCTTAAGGAATCTTTAACCCAACATCCTTATTTTCCAGATAGGAAACTGAGGATCAGAGAGGGAAAGTGACATGCCTAAGATCACACAGGGCCAGGCCTACAACTCAGGTCTCCTAATTTCCCTTCTGGTGATTTTTTCAATATAAATGCCTGCTTTAGGCTTGTGCCGCTGTCCAGGCAGCCTATGCAGCCACCTGTGACAGGGATACAGAGACACATCATATGGGAAAGCTGACAGTCCTTCCTGACATCAACCTTGGTGGAGGCATGTCCCAACCTCCAAAGAAAGAGTGGAGCTTCCCATAATGACCATTATGGATCTGTCTCCTTTAGCTAAATCTTACTGAGCCTGTCTCAGATTAGAAGCGCTGGAAAAATGCCAAATAGGAGTGAGTGAGGGGTGGGATGAAGGAGGTATTAGAGAGGAGACTCAGAACTAATTTTGGAGCCATTCTTTGTAAATTCTCATGGGAGCACTCCCTCCTCCTTAGTTTGGTTCCTTACACCTAGCGCCCCCTCAGCCCTAGCCCTGCAGACCAGGCAGACTGCAGGTTAGGTATGGCTGTGGGCAGGCGCCAACCAGGACTGTGGATATCTCTTTCTCTGCTGATCACTTAGAAAAATCACCTTCCTGTGTTACATTATCAAGTGGATGAAGGCTGAGCTAAGTGTTCCCTCTGAAGCTGCCTGCAGTCAGAATGACATCATGCCTTCCTTGGGGCTTCTGAGCTTCTGTCTTCTGCCAGTGAGCTTAATGGTTAATTACCCATCAGTGTGTGTTTCTCTGTCTGCCTTGTTTCCTTGCTCTCTGTGCATTAGTTCCTCTTTGTCTCTGTCCTTCTTTGCCAATTGCTGGGGCAGACTTGTGTGTGTATCTTAGATGTAGATGGGACAGTCCAGCTAATTAAAAAAATATTTGTTTTAAACTATTCCCGTCAGCCACTCCGGCACTCTCCGAGGGTTACAGATTCATTTTTCTCCACTTTTCCACATCTACACTCCCTTGCTGGCCTCCAACAAAAGGACATTCATGCCTCATCTATACAAAGATGCCAGATATGTTCCCTAGGGAAAAGAAATATTTGTGTCAGCTATGAGCATGCGCAGGGAGTGGAGGACTTGCTGAAGCTTGCTCAGTAAAATGAGGAAAAAGGCTAGATTTATCGTTGGTAGCTCCCCGGGATGTACCTCTCGACCCTTCTCCAACATCCCTGTTATATTGGGCCTACCCCCAACTACCCATGGCAGGTTCTGGCATTCCTCTTTCCTCCCCTCCCCCCTCCCCACCTGCCTGTGCCCTGGCTCTATCTCATTGTCAAGAAGCCAAGCTTTTTGGGCTTTTCAGGATGAGAACCAACGGGTCCAAGGAGCAGCTACTAGGGAAGGACTGATGGGCCTTCTGAGTCAATAGAAACAACTAACATATGCAGAGCACTTTATGTTTTGCCAAAGGTCTTTTTCGTGTGGTATTTCATTTGCCTACTCGTTTATTTAGCTACTAAGTGAAGGAGCTAGGAGCCAGGTCTCTCAGTTCCAAAACTACTGCTGTCAATTGCTTGTCGGGCCAGACTCGATGCTGGAGGTTTG